TTATTTTCTGTAATTTAATTAGATTTAGCAGGTTTTGAAGATTTGAGTAATTTTATTAAAGAGAATAGATTTTATCATATACCTCTAAAATCAGCTGATGAAGTTAATAATTTACAAGATAAAGTTTTTCCATGGTAAGAATATTGTGGAAAATTAATGTAACTTATTCAATAGAAAATCAAATCAGTTAATGCCAATATCTAGAATTTTTTAAAATTGAATAACCTGTTAAATATTGTTGGTTATGGATTAAATGATGAAGATGCATATGTAATTTAATAGTGCTTAAAACAAATTACATAAAGAGATTCAAATATTTAAAGTGCAAGGTTTTGGGGAAAGATATTAGCTTAACAAAAAGACTACTTTGTAATAGAAGTTACATTGGATAAGTAAATAAAAGAACCTTAACCACCTGATTGTGATGAGAAACTTAATGAATATGTTCATTATGTTACTTAAGATTGTAAGATTTATAAGTAAATAAATTAGTATTGGAGGATTGGGCTTTATTACCACAAATAACAAGAAAATAAATGGAAGCTAGTCGTTATATTACTTATGTTTTTAGTGGAAACTTAAATAAAGAAATAATTTAATATCCATATTTTGAAGGAAAGGAAAAACATTTATTGAAAGCATAAATACTAAGAATAACACATGCTAATTTATTGGCTCCAAGAGGGTTGTATAAATATGAAGATGAAACAAAAACAATAGGTTTTGAAGATGAATTTAAGATGCCTGAATCAGCTGAGTTAATAACAATGGATGCTTGGGTTCATTTGCCTGCATATATTTTAAAATAAGGAAGAATAACATTTTATGAAGATCCTTCTTTAAAAGAAGAGGAATTGAATTTGATGAAAGAGTAAGATCCTGAATAAGAAAGATTAAAATCTATAAAAGATGATAAACGTAAAAGTTGATCACTATGTATAGCATTTGAATAGAATGAAGGAAATTGGTTGATTAAAGTATTTGGAGAAACATAGTAATATACTAATTAAGAAGAATAAGCAATGAGTTATTAAGTAGTTTTATTAAGAAATTATTTATGGCCTGGTGCAGTAACTGTAAGCAATGTATTAATATATTGAATAATATTAAAGTCAAATGAATACATAAGTGTATATTTTGGATATGGATTGAAAAATTAATAGAATTCTTTCAATCCTTTATCTCCTAAAGATGTATAAGATGATCCTGAAGATATAGATGAATATCCTGAACCAAATCCAAGAGAATAACCAGATGAATTAGAACCAGATAGTGATGATGAAAGAAGAAGAGAATAAGAGAGAAGAGAAGCTGAATTGCAATAGTAATAAGAATGATATATTTATAATATATTTTTGTGTTTTATTTAAAAAGCTCTTGGATTTGTTGCATTTATCAATTGAGTTGTTGTTATTGTTATTGTTATTATTATTATTATTATTGTTGTATTTATTATTATTATACTAAAGTTTGTTCTTCCTACTTTCCAAAGTTCATGATATAGAAATGTTCATTACGTCTAGAATATAATAATGAATAATTACTTGAGACCAATATTACCACCTAAGATCCATAATTATTCTTCATTATAAATATCAGCAGCATGGAAATATCTTGGAGATGGCATTTGACCATATTAAGTAGGAGTAATCCATGTATTAGTAGTGAAATCAAATAAATGTAAATCATTCAATCGATTAGACTTGCTATTCCTACCACCAAAAATACAAATTTTAGATTTAATCAAATTAGTAGTATGACCATATCTGGGTTCTGGAGCAACTCCTAAAGTTTGAATCTATTGCCATTAAACTGTTTCAAAATTCAACATCCAAATATCATTAAAATATTCATCTTAATTCTTTCCACAAAATATGTACATCTTTTCATTTACTTAAATTGCAGTATGTCCATATCTTGGTGATGGTTAATTATTTATATTCAATCTCACCCATTACATATTCTGAATATTCATATAATAAACATCATTGTAAATCAATTCAACTTCAAGATCTGGTGATAAGTAATATCCACCAAATAATATCACTAATTCTTCCTATGCATAAAATGTTAGACTAGCTCTTTCTCTCTCAGTCCATTTCTTATCTGTCTTCGCTAAGTACCAAGTCTTAGCTGAAGTCACATATACAAAATGATCATTCAATATAGAATGCTCATCAACACCTCCAAAAAATAAAATCTTATCTCCATATGCTATTGCATTATGATAAGCTCTTGGTCTTGGCATCTCTCCTTCTGTTTCCTCTAAATTTAATTAATGATCTCCAAATGTTAACTTATATAAATCATTTCGACTTGGAGCTCCACCAAATATATAAAATTAATTCCCAATGCTTGTCATTGTATGTCCATATATATGATCGAATGTATGATACAATAAGTCATGTTTTGTCCAATAAACATTATTGAAATCTAGTTCTTATGTTTCTGTTTTGTTTATTAAAACAACCATGATGTTATTTTTCTTTCCAAATGTATTTGATATAGTTGGTTAGCAACTATCATGAAAGTATTGTTTTCCTCTTTTAAATATGAATTCATAACGTCCCTCTTACAAATCAATATAAGTATAATATTCATCACATAATTTAAATTGATTGTATCGCTTTTACAATTTTATAGGTTAATTCCAATTGTCCCAAGATCCTATTACTTCGTCTGCTATTTCAAATAGTCTTATCAAAGGTTTGGCATTTGATTCAAATATCTAATATGCTCTCTTAGGAAGCACTTGAATCTGTAATCATTATAAGTTTTACTAAGTTATTGTATGATCCATGATTATCATGAACAATCTCTTCATTTTACAAATATTTCCAATGATTATCTACTAAGAACTTATACTCATATTATCCAACTGCCAAATTTAAAGTGCATTTCTTTCCAATTAATTTGGTCCCCACTTAGAAGAGATTCCATGATCCAAATATTAACACTTCTTTACCTTCAAAAGGCCTATTGAATATTCAATATTATACCAAATAAATTTCACTGGTTAAGCTGCACAAGGTTATCTCGGATGAATATTTCCACAATCTTAACATCGGTTTATATTCATATTCATTAAAATATATATAAATATTAAAATCAAATGGACTGCCAAAAATTTTACCTTAATTTTAAATTATTTATTTATATTTAGGCTAATCTATTTATCATCAATAGATACAATTAATATCTTTCTTTAAAAAAACTAAAAATTTATATCAAATTTATTTATACTTATCTATATAATAGTTTGCATAACATTTTACTAGAATACTCCAAATTGATGAGATTGACTGAAATTGACTCTTAGCTATATTTTAATCCTCTTACTTAAGTTTTTAACTCATAATCTTTTATTCTAGTTTATTTTTCTATAATTCAAGATCTTTAATATAATTCATGCATTAAGACATTGCATTTGCTTCCCTCTATTCATTTACAAAGTAATCATATACATCATTCATAGTATCTATTTACATTTATAAACCTCTATCAATTGAATTTGATTTTCTTCTTTAAATTACTTCTTCAGATTATAAATTAAGATGAATTAAATGCAACTCTGGAAGAATATATTTAGAAAGGTAATTAACATTTTTAGAATGCTACTCAAACAATTTTTTGATATCTGAAAAATCATTAATCTTTAGTTATTCTAATTTAGACATCAAAAGTGAAAAATCGTTACATTTTTATCTTTATTACTCGTTTACTGATTCTTTTGTTTCAAATTCTTCAAAATTCTATTTATATCTTAAATCAATCTATTCTATGTTTGTTTGTTGAGTCATTTCTTTCAGTTTAGTTTAAACATATTCCATTTCTTAGTTGGTATCTTTATTAGTCTTAGTTATAAAAACATTAAATTCAATAGATTATGCAAAATATGTTATCTTAGATAACTTCATCAAAAAATATTCAAAAGCTTTCCTCATATTCTCAATATGTTCATTTGAATAATCTTCAAAAGTTGATTTATTCATCAACGGTGGAATATATACTCCAGGCCTAAACTTTTATTATTTTGCTTATTATACCATCTTAACTGCAATATTTATCGTAATTAAGATACATCCTAGAATCTTCTAATTACTTCTTGTTCTGTATTATCTATTATTCTAAATTAAACAAATTTATTTGTGAATCCTTATTATATAATTTATGGATCACATACTCTATATTACTTACCAACATATTCAAACTTACTGTTTTTTTAATTACCTTCATTTTAAGACAAATATAATTGATATAATTAAGATTAATATTGGATCTATTGATCAACCAATGGAAGTATTTACCACTCTAAAAATTATAATTATTATTTGTATCCTCCTGCTATTGCCCCCAATTAATTGTTTTATTCCACTTTAAATTCTTTCTTTTCTCCATCTTTCTATCCAACTTAAATTTACTTCTTATTTGTCTGTATTTCTATTCTATTTATGCTTATTTCATTCTGATACCATGTCAATTAGATAATATATTCGCTATTATCCAAAACTAATTTTTATTCATTTACTCCAAACAATTTTGATGATCTATACTCATATTTAACAATTACTTATGCTCTTTGCATTTTATTACTGATTAAGAACTAAATGAATAGTAATAATTTTAGATCCCCAATATCCCTTAATTTGTAAAAAAGATCTTTACAGTATGAATCTTATAAGGGACAAAGGATTATAAGTCGATTGAGTCATCAAAATATTTTAGATCTCCTTATTTGATTCCCAAGATTATTGAGTCCATTGAAATTTAATTAATGATTAATATATTTCAGTATACATTCTATAAAATATAGAAGATAGATAGAGCAATTATAAATTATTTATTAATAAAAGTTCAGTAGTAAAAGTTGAAGCTAATTGTTACTTTATAGAAAATCACTTCTTAAATTCGAATAAAAATTTTTAATTTTAATAAATAGATAATTGAGACAAAAGGATAAAAAAAATGGATTAATTGAATATTCTATTATATGAAAGGCATCATGGTAACTTTTTTAAAAAATTAGCTTTAGGTACTTCTAAAGGATGCTAATTATATCTAATTTTTGGTTAATCCTATTCTTATTGTGTTAATTACTATTATGAAATTTATTATAAAGTTGGCGAGTTTTAAGATTGTTTTTATGTTTATGATTATTATTGTTATTGTTATTATTGTTATTGTTATTATTATTATTGTTATTATTGTTATTATTATTGTTATTGTTATTGTTATTGCTATTGTTATTGTTATTGTTATTATTATTATTGTTATTATTATTATTATTGTTATTATTATTGTTATTGTTATTGTTATTGTTATTATTATTATTGTTATTATTATTATTATTGTTAATATTGTTATTGTTATTATTGTTATTATTATTATTATTATTATTATTATTATTATTATTATTATTATTATTATTATTATTATTATTATTATTGTTATTATTGTTATTGTTATTATTGTTCTTTCTAAGTTTATTAAATTGTTATCTATTATTAATATATTGGTGTTTGTTGTTGTAGTGGGTTTTTTTTATCAAATATTACTACTTTTTTTTAAACTTAATTTCCTTATTGTATTTAAGTGTTTTATGGCGATTAATATAATGATTATAAAACAGATAAAGAATTAATTTTTTGATTTGGTTCAATTTTACCATCATTATCTGCAAATTTGAGTAATTCTTAAGTTTATAGATCGTACAGTTAAAATACTCTTGCATATTTCGTTAAAACATTCTTAATCTCATATTTATCTACTCTAAATGTTAATTAATATTTTACTTAAAATTAATCATATTCATTGTTAAAGTCAATAAATTAGAATATATAATATTTTTATCCTTGAATATTTATTCATTTGACACTTGAGAAGTATCTTTTATTGTTGATTTATCTATTTCTGTTTCGATTGTTGTAAAAATTAATCCTTCCCATAAATCAATTTATTTCCAAATTTACATAGAAATTAGGCTATCTTATAAGAAAAATCTTTTTTCATGTTCATCAGTAGTATAAATTGTTGAAATCATGGTAATAATTCTTTTAACTAAAACTAATTCACCTTCTTTTTAAGAGATCTCCAATAATTTTTGAGTAAATAATTATATATTTTAAAATCCGTATTAATTAAAATTAGAGCATCTAAATATAAATTAATGTATACCCAGCTTGTCTAAAAGATTCTAGAATGATACACCCTAATTCTCTAAAGAATTTTTAATCAAAGATTTCATCTAAATTGGATCTTTGTAATTCAGGTATATTTTTCCAACCCTTAATTTATTATTCTTAAGTTAACTATATAACATATTTAATGAAACTATAAATATTAACAAGTTATTATTCACCATATTAAACTTTATATTTATTGACCATTTATTGAATGCCAGTAGGTTGATCATCAGCATTTTTAGGTTTATTTTTATTATTGACTTTTCCAATTAATTTAATTGTTACTCCTTTTAAATCTTCAATAAATTCAGTATTAACTAAGAATACATCAAAAGATTCTAAATTTTCATTTTAAAATTAATAGGGATTGGTTTCTCTTTTAATATTCAATCTATGATTAAGTGAGATTTAATCAGCAATATTCCTTAAAAATGAATAATTTAATGAAGGATTAACTTTTAAATAGTTTTCTTTAGAAATCCCAATCTAACTTGAAGGTCCTGGTGCAATTGGATCATTTTATGGATCTAAATAGATTTCAGCCTATTTAAAGAATTATTCACTATCATATTAAAGGTTTCTAGTTTTAGAAATCTCATAAACTAAGATCTTCATTACAATATCCTAATTATATATTGATATACTTTAGCAATTGCAAATATTTGATTGTATTATGTAGTTAATAATTATATTCCATTTTATAAAGCCGAACAATATGATGAAACAGCTTAATTATAAATTGTAGCTGCCTATTTCAAAGCAGATTCATTCTCTAATTTATATGACAATTATGAATTTAATCGATGTTGAGCTTTTGATCTCTATTCTGAATTGCATTCCTTATTCCAAAACAAAGCTTCTAATGTAATTGCTGATTCTTCGTAATCTTTTGATGCTCTTATAGTCTTTTCCTTCTAACGATCGTACTTATCAAATGTTATTTTGATTTCTTTATCCATTTTCAATACATCTTGTATAAGTGGCTTAAATTAACTTTGGATATGTCTTAACTCATTGATAGCTTATTCTACATCATGCTTGTACGATTAGTTGAATTGCTTAGTTACTAATACCCACATACCTTATAGTATTGGGCCCTTTAATTCAGATCTACTTTCACTCCTCTCACTAAATCATCAATATCTCCACCACCATTTTACATTTATCCACTTATTTTCTCCAAAGCCTTGTGATACTTCTCTTCAGCTTCTGATCTCTCAAAAAGCTATCCCAACATTATTTCGGTTACTTTACTTCTATCATTTACTCTTCGATATAGAACATCGAAATTTGAAGCTAATTATTTAATATTCATTATTATTTATTAGTTATTCCATTAAATTCATTAAATATATCAAATAAGTTTAATGTATTATAATTAAATCTTATAAAACTTCTAAATTGTTAAAAAAAGATAAATATTTATTATTTTCAGATCCTAAGTAGGAATTAAGAATTGGAAATAGATAATTAATAAAAATATGCAAAAAAAATAAATATGCTTAATCCCACTTAATGTTTCAATTACTTAACATTACTTTTTATTTTTATTAAACTAAATTTATAAACTTATATATCATTTTTCTTTCTTTATTAATTATTAACATAAATTAAATAATCTTCTCATATTAAAATTAAAAAATCATCTGATTTATATAATTTTAGTTTTCATATAACTTTTGTAATTATCGCATAACTATGGACATAATTTTGCTTTAATCTCATTATTCTACACTAAATTATATATCCCAAAATTATTCTCATTTTCTTATACTATTCTAATTTCTTAATTTTGATCAATTACTTCGATTGGAATAATAATATTAAAGATTCTATTACAACAATCAAAGAAAAACTTTTTTTTTAGCTAAATATTGATTTTAATGATGTGATGGCATTATATTTAACTTCCTAAATATAAAAGTCTCATTTAATTTGCAACTTGATTGATTGAGCTTGTAAAAGTGACTAAAGTATTATCTTCATTTTTTTATTCTTTTTTTTGTAATTCACATAGTCGACGTTCGGACAACACCTTTCCTTCAAAAATAATTTTTTCACATAAATGAGCTTTGAATTCAGATGGAATAATTTAAGAAAAATTACCTTCTAATTTGATTTCTATACTTTCATTCTCCTTAAACAGAGTATTTTTCCCTAAAATTTTAATTTGAATTTGCCCACCTACTAATATTTATTGATATAAAGCATATTCTTTAAGTTCATCATTCATTACATCTTTATTTGACTGATTGAAAGGTTTTTCCAAGTAGAATTTTTCAAATAAAATTTTATACTCTTTTTTTTAAACATTCTCTTAATCATCATTTCGTTTGTATGTTAAAGTTAATTTTTTCAAATTATAAAATAGAATTTGCCCTTCTACTATCTTTGTTTAAGGACAAGGAAAAAACATATGATTTATAGGAATTTCCCATATAACAATTATTTCTTTGCCTTATTTTTTTTTGTTTTTTATTTTTGAAGCAGGAAATGATCTCAACCAATCTTTAGTAAAAAGAATTAATCTTTATCTTTCGTTTACAATTTCTTTGATTTCAATCTTTAATATAATCATTTTATACCCAAGCTGTAAATTCTTGTTTTTTACAATTTTTTTACACATCTAGTATGTACGCCTTAAATTTTAAATAATACTAACTGTCTTGTTGATATTTTTCTTAATAGAGTAATTATCTAATATTAAATTCTGACATTTTTTTTATTTTAAAATAAATCCATGTATAATTAACAAATGGAGAAATATTTTTCCATTTATTATAATTTTCTTAATTAAAAAAAAATTGATTATGGCACATTATTATTGAATATTTGGTTATTCTAAATTCAATTACTGTATATATTCAATTAATAATATTTTGGAAAAAAAACAGGTAAAATTAAGTTAAGTCTTTAAAGAACTTTTATTTAGGAATGTTTTTGTAATTTTACAAAAGTTTGTTAATTTGAAAAATTATTTTTAAGAAATGAAAAGATAAAATAAAATGTCATTAATCCAAAAAATGGTGTAAAAATTATAATAATCAAAATTTTTGTGTTTAATATTCATGCTTGTGAATTAATTTTGAAAACTTATCATAAGATTGAATAAGCAAGCAAAAACTAATTAAGGATCATCATTAATTAATTGAATTAAGAGTATCAGGATAAATCTTAGCTAATTATAATTAAACATTATTATTTAAAATTAAGAAGATCATTCAGTTCTTCTATGGTGAATATTACATTGGATTAATTGATTTGTAATAATTATTAATATAAGTATTTAAGGAAGTAATCTATTTAAATTAATTCAACTCCAATATTTGAAGAATTCCTTTGATCTTATGTTAGATAAAGAGGAAAAAATCTATTATTAGGATTAAAATTATTAAACCATAATGATATTTTTTGTGATAATTACATATCTTAAAATTATTAAAAAATAGAATTATTTTAGTTTTGAGTTTATAAAAAAAATAAAAATGAGTTTTATTTTAATTTTATGATTCATCCATAAAAAGTGGAGAAACCATTTTTAAGTAATCAAAAAATTGAAAATGTGAAATTTTAAGAAAGCTATAATCCATTCAGTTAAGAAAAACAAAAACTAATTTCTATTCAAATAGACAACTAACAATTATTAAATTGATATAATATTTAATAAGACGCTGATAGGAGGAACTAACTAATTTAGATTATAGACCAACTAATAAAAGAAAAAGAGAACTCTTAGTATCAATGCTAAGTAGTTTTTTTTTTTATTTTTGAGCTAAATTTTAGTGAAAAAGCTACATATAAATTTTGGACAAAAAATTACAAAAGAAAAGTAAATAAAACAAAGAGTTATATGAGATAAAATAAATAGAGAATAATAATGAGAAATTTGAGCTTTTATTTGGGTTTTAACCTGAAATCTTTTATATTAATTACAGAGCTTAAATCAATGGAATTTCAAATAAAGATTTCAAGTTTAAATAATGCTTGCAGTTATNAATGTCATTAATCCAAAAAATGGTGTAAAAATTATAATAATCAAAATTTTTGTGTTTAATATTCATGCTTGTGAATTAATTTTGAAAACTTATCATAAGATTGAATAAGCAAGCAAAAACTAATTAAGGATCATCATTAATTAATTGAATTAAGAGTATCAGGATAAATCTTAGCTAATTATAATTAAACATTATTATTTAAAATTAAGAAGATCATTCAGTTCTTCTATGGTGAATATTACATTGGATTAATTGATTTGTAATAATTATTAATATAAGTATTTAAGGAAGTAATCTATTTAAATTAATTCAACTCCAATATTTGAAGAATTCCTTTGATCTTATGTTAGATAAAGAGGAAAAAATCTATTATTAGGATTAAAATTATTAAACCATAATGATATTTTTTGTGATAATTACATATCTTAAAATTATTAAAAAATAGAATTATTTTAGTTTTGAGTTTATAAAAAAAATAAAAATGAGTTTTATTTTAATTTTATGATTCATCCATAAAAAGTGGAGAAACCATTTTTAAGTAATCAAAAAATTGAAAATGTGAAATTTTAAGAAAGCTATAATCCATTCAGTTAAGAAAAACAAAAACTAATTTCTATTCAAATAGACAACTAACAATTATTAAATTGATATAATATTTAATAAGACGCTGATAGGAGGAACTAACTAATTTAGATTATAGACCAACTAATAAAAGAAAAAGAGAACTCTTAGTATCAATGCTAAGTAGTTTTTTTTTTTATTTTTGAGCTAAATTTTAGTGAAAAAGCTACATATAAATTTTGGACAAAAAATTACAAAAGAAAAGTAAATAAAACAAAGAGTTATATGAGATAAAATAAATAGAGAATAATAATGAGAAATTTGAGCTTTTATTTGGGTTTTAACCTGAAATCTTTTATATTAATTACAGAGCTTAAATCAATGGAATTTCAAATAAAGATTTCAAGTTTAAATAATGCTTGCAGTTATTACTCAGAAAAAAAAAGAAAAAAAAGATCAATAATAACTGGATCCTTTTATTTGGAAATTAATACTAATACCAAAAATTAGATAAAAATCTCAAAAATCAAAAAAGATAGAATTACAAAGAGGAAGAGATTCAGCTATAAAGTTATAAATTGAATGGAAGTTAAACAATGATGAACTAACATTAGATTTGAATTTTTAAGAATAAATTTCTAATTTGTCAGTTTCTGCAGTGATATACTCAAGAATATTCTTTAAAGAGAATGCTAGAAATAGTGCTTAAGAAAGTAATAAAATTAGTTCTAAAGCACATAAAAACTTAGGAAAAAGAAATTAAGTAATAGGGTAACCTACATAAAAAATACAAATTACATTCTAATTAAATTAGATAGATTAAAATTCCTGTCCATATCTATGGTTAGGAGAATATCTTTAGTTTCATCACATAATCATAACAACTCTAGATTTCGCTTCTTGTTTTTGGAGTATATATAAAAAAAATAAGTTCTATATTTAAGTACCAATTAATTTATTTCCCTTTGACGAAAAAACAATCAAAATCAGGATATTATTGGAGTAGCTAATTATTTTGATCTATTTTGAAATCTTTTAAAACAATAATTTATCTAAATTTTTCAGATAATTAATTAATCTTTCAGTATATGTTTTTAATCACTATAATTTAAATTCAACTGTTTCATTCTAATTTTTATATTAAACAACCTCTTTTTTTGGTGCTATCTTAATTAATAAAATAATGAGAATAGTACTAAAAGTAATTATAAGAATATGTATTGTGAAATATTTTGTGTTACTTTTTCTTACAAGTCTATAAAAATGCTATTACTTTTAAATTCTGGACTATTTACATAAAATATATAAAATCATAAACAATTAATAAATTTGTCAGTACACAACAAAAAAAATGATTTATATTTTTATCAGACTCTATCAATAGTGGGATAGTATTATTATATTCATCATTTAATTGTTCATAAAAATCAGAACAAAAACAATTAAATTAGTTTTTATATATGTGTTTTGTGTAAAAAAAGTCAAATATTAGAGATTTTCTTTTAAAGGAATCAAATTAGGATTTATTTACTTTATTTTAATTTAGACAGTATAAATAGAAATTGGAATTACTTTACTTCACAATTTCAAATATTTGTAATAATAATCCTATATTTTATATATACTTTTGATATCAATTTTCAGTTTAGACATTAGATTATTATATTTATGAATAAAGTTTCGTTTTTGATTGAAATGATGAAGTTATAGAAATTAAATAAATTAGATGAATAAAGAAAATTGTAATTGTAAATAATTGAGAATTTAATAGATGAGATATCTTTATAATGTAAATTGTTAGAAAAAAAAGGAATAAAAATAAAGAAAGTTATAAAGAGAAGACTACTGGAATATTCTTAATAAATATTGATTAATCAGCTACAACAATTTGATTTATTGATGATACAGTTTAATTAATTGACATTGATATTTATAAAATAATTACCGAATAAGCTAGAGAAAGAAGTATGGGATCATAGTGTAACAATTGTAAATGTGAAAAGGAGAAATATTTGGATATTGAGAAAGCAGTATTTAAAGATCTATTATACTTTTAGGAATATGTAGTTGTTGTTGCTACATCTTCTTAAAAATCAACTTCAAAAGTAATTGTAAAAAATAAAATGGCAACCCTAATTTAAAAATATTGGCGAGGTTATTATGTTAGAAAAAAGCTGACATATTAGAAAATAATAGAATCAATACCTTAAAAAACAATTCATACAAATGAAATTGATCAACAAGAACAATTTGAATCTGGAATAAGCATAAATTAAGATTAATTTGAGAGAGAAACTCGTTAAGCATATAAGTATATAAATAAAAAGTATTAGATTCAAAGGTGGAGCAGTTTATACAGGAGAATGGAAAGGATAAGCAAGAGATGGATTTGGAATATAAGTATGGCCAGATGGAGCAAAATATGAAGGAGAATGGAGACATAATAAAGCTTAAGGAAAAGGATAATTTACTCATTCAAATGGAGATATATATAATGGAAATTGGGAGAATGATATGGCAAATGGTTATGGAGTCTATTAACATATTGATGGTGCTAAATATGAAGGATAATGGTTTAATGATAAACAACATGGATATGGTTATGAAATTTGGCCAGATGGATCATCTTATTAAGGATTCTTTTAAAATAGTTTTAAACATGGAAAAGGTTTATTATATTTTTAAATTAGGAAAATATATATGGCCAACTGGATAATATTTTGAAGGAGACTGGGTTTTAAACAAACTGAATGGATTAGGTGTTTTAGTTTGGCCAGATGGTAGAAAATATGAAGGAGAATTCTAGAATAATAATATGCATGGTAAAGGAACTTATACTTGGCCAGATGGAAGAAAATATTATGGTTAATATTTTAATGATTAAAAACATGTATTTCTTAATGTTTTATAAAAGGGTTATGGAATATATGAATGGAGTGATGGAAGAAGATATGAAGGAGAATGGGAAAATGGAAAATAACATGGAAAGGGATTATATATTGTTGGAGAATTAGAAAGAACAGGAGAATGGCTTAATGGAAAAAGAATTAGATGGGATGATGAAAAGAAAACTAATTATAAAAAATGAATTTTAAATTACTAATTTTTGTCAATATTCTACCATATAATTGTAATCGTCTTGTATTTTTTATAAAGATTCAAAAGCACTATCGAAATCTTAATTCTCTAAACCATATTTCCAATACCAATGCAAATATGCTCCACTTTTATATTTCTAAAAAGCAATCTTACTTACATTTTTTAAAATTGGAATTATTTTAGTAGAATTTATTAAAGTAACATTCATTTTTTAATCATGTCCTTTAACTGAAGATTTTTCATTAATAAAATGTAATTAAACAGCATCAGGATTCCATTGAACTGGATTAAAAACTTAATTAATTTTTCTTTCTAAAAATTTCATATGAGAATCTGAATCTTATAATGTTTTTAATACATTTTCTGATCTAAATACAGATTATAAATTTAAAGTAGCTTCTCCTTTTTTTTAAATTGATTAAATTTATAGAGATTTTGTCACTGCTTCACCAATTTACTATTATTAATCATTATCATCTTCAAATTTTTCAAATGCATATTGTTCTAAAGAACTTTTAATTAATTCTTCCCAAGTACATAAAGATCCCAAATTTGAATGTGCAAACAATGTAAATGGAGCTGATACTACTTCTATAAATTTATGACCTTCAGTTATACAACATTCAGATAATAAATCTTAATAATAACGAGCATTTGTATAATTATCGTTTATCCAAAATAAATTCATTAAACAAGATCCTATGTATTCATTTACATTTGATAAATCTACACTTTTATCTATTTATTTTGATCCTATCTAACTAAGCATTTAATATATTCTATCATTCTCAAAATAAATTATTGAATCCGCATACTATTATATATGTGCTGAAGATAAAAGTGTATTATAATGTTAAAGAGGTGTTTCACCAGTTTTATTTGGAAATATGGCTATTACATTTTAATGAACTTCTTGAAATATATCAGAAAACTCTTAGATCACTCTACTACCTAATCCAGATCCAGTTCCACCAGCTAAACTCATTATAGTAGAAATGCTTAAGAAATAATCTGTTTTTTCTATTTCTTTTCTTGCTTAATTTATAATTTATTCAACTATTTGCTCATTTTCTTAACAGTATTATTAGATTGATACTTCATTTGTTGAAGATTTAAATACTGAGATAGCTTACTATTAATTAGACTTTTAGAGTTTTGATTTCTATTTCAAATTAAGATATCCTAAACCCCAATTATTTCCTCTTCCATATTAATAATAAAGAACATTTTTCACATCAATATGAGAATACAATTTTCTATCCTTTTTTATTATGTTATCTATAACATACTTCAACAATTGGTTTCAATATTTTTGGTTCTGTATCTACTAGAATTGTATGATAAATATTTGATTCTCTTCTTCTCAAAAACATATTTCCCTCATGCATCGATGATTTATCAATTAGATTAAACATTTGTAAAGCAAGTTAATTTCCACATTACCCTAAATTCAAAAGTAAAGTTCCCATTATATTATTTAATTAATTTTAATTATATTTATATAAATAAAAAACATCATAAAATAAATAGAATTGGAATAAATACCATTCCTTTTTTCAAATAAATATGTTATTTATATCCTAATCTTTTTTATCTTTGAATTAATTTATTTTCTTTATCATTAAATTAAGCATTCTTTTTATTTTTAAGTTTGTTATTAATTATTTTTCACAATGTTTTTTTTCTTTAACTAAATTTAACAAATACTCTCCACCACTCCTTCATTTCATATTGAATATGAATTCATTAGTTTTTGATAGCTCTATTTTCCAAAATTTAATCATTCCTTTCAAAATTTTATATCATTAAAGTTTTTCAACTCTATTTTTATAACTCAAACTCTTTGTTAATTACTAATTCGCAAATTTACACATTTGTATTTTTTATTTCTCCTAATTCTAAAACTTTGTTAAAAATAATTATGGCTTTCATGTTGCGTTCTATTATAAAAAAAAACTTTTATTATTATGAATTTTAGCATATTAATCATTATATATCCCATCAGATAAATTTACTAATATAATCATTTAATTATAGCTAAAGTGAATAAGATTATCTTCTTACTATTTTTAAATTTGCAATTTTAGTTCAAGTTCACCAAATAAATAAAAAATTTCCAAATTCAAATAAATGATGTATTCAATATTTCTTTCAAAGAGTTTTTTTAAGATTAATTTTAATATTAACATTAATTTTAAGTTTATTTCTTTTATTTTTTTAAGTTTCATTTTATTAAATTTATCCTTATCAATAGAATAAAATAGAATAAAAAAATAAATAGAAATAGTAAATAAAATGAATATTTTTTTCAATAATGTACCAAAACAATTAACAACACCAATTTCCAAATCATTAGATTTAAAGTTAGCAATAAAAATCAAAAAATACTGAGATGAATTCATAATAAGAATACATAAAATATACAGTGAGATAGGACTTTTTAAATGTAATTGGCATAGCTGTTGATTATAATACAGTCTTGGAGAAGTTTTAAAATGATACTAAACAAGATGAATTATTGAAAGTTATGCAGAATAGATTGATTTTGTAAGTAAATCTATCAAATTCAATACATTCTGACTTATACCATCAATTCAAAAATTCCCCTAATATGTAGTAATTATTGAAGGCTGAAAAAGAATAAGCCAAAAAGAATCTAAAATTATTAGACTAAGAAAAATTTTATTAAGCAACAATTGTTCTACTCAAAAAGTATGAGGAAAATTGTTTAGTTGATCAGCCAATAATAAAACATGAGGCTTTAAATTTAATAACATGCTAACCTTAATTCAATCCAGAAACAATTGGAAAAGTAATTGGATCTATAAACACAACAGATTAAAAATACTAAGATATCTAAAATGGTAAATTTGAAACAGAAGAATTATCTAAAGAGACAATTTTTAAATATATAGAGTAAAATAATTAAATTATAATCTTAGCGAAAGGAAATAAAATGCTAAAATGAAGCTAAATAATAATCCCAGTTAAGAATCAAATTTTGGGTTAGACTGTGGGTGTTAGTTAATTTGAGAATTAATTTTATTCTGCTACATTTTCAAATTTTTTTAATATTTGATAATCTTCTAATATTTGAAAACAGTATAAATTTTTATAATTTGTTCTTCATTTTTCATATTTGAATTTTAGTTTAATTGAAATTTAATATAATATAAATACAACTCATATGTAAAATAAAAATGGTCCTCCTTCTAGACTAAAAAAAGAAAGCTTAAGTTAATCAACAAAATTGCTCACAACTTCAACCGTTAAGAAATAACAGTAATTTATTATTTAATTTTAGAGCTACATAAGTTTAAAAAGTAAATGAACTTCATTAAAAGAAGATTGGTAACACAGATCCAATTATTGATAAAATTACTGACTCAGCATAAATTACCAAAGTTACAAGGACAACAACAAAATCAATCACATCAAAAATTGATGATGGAAAACTTAAACAATTACAAATAATAAAGCAAGATCCTATTATTAATAAGAATTAAAAAAAATAAAGTTTGAAACCAGGTAAATTGTAAGATAAATAAAAATTGGAATAATAAAAAGAAATTGAACAATCTTAAAGTATAGAAGGAGAAGAAATTATACATGTTTAAAATTTATCAATATAAAATCAATTTGATAAAGCCGAAGAAAATACTTGTTCAAATTTGGATTAAGAAATGATTTTAGATAGTTATAATTAATAGAAAATTGATATAAATAATTAGCAAGGTATATTAAATAAAGAATTATTTGAAAATAAAAATTAACTAAATTAATTATAGATTGAAAATGCAAATAATTCAATTAATCCACATCCAAATAGTGAATATTTATTTTTAGTTAAAGATAATGCAAATCAAAATGATTATTCAAAATCTTATTTATAAGAGAATTTAATAGGATATGATAAAAATTTCAATTAAAATACAAATTAAGATTTGTAAAAAGAAAAATAACAAGAAGAAGCTAATGATCTAATTCTATAAAATAAAGATGAAATCAAAATAGATGAAAAAAAAGATAATACAAAATTAATTATTAATGATTAGTAAGCATAATAAATCTAATAATTTTAGATAATACAAAATTAAAATTAAGAAAAAGATCAGAATAAAAAAATAGAATAATAATAGTAGGAAGTTCAACAGGAAGATAATTATGTAAAAAAATAAATATAGATCATAAATGAAGAAGAAAATAAAAATTAAACTTTCAATGTAAAATAATGTTTCAGTGAATAATTGAAAGATTAAATATTAGGGACGAATGAATCCGGTGATTAAGGTTAATAATAAATTGGATCACAAAATAAAAATATATTTGAAAATACTAATAATTAATAAACTTATTAAGAAGAATTACAATAGAATGTAATAAAATAAGTGGATATAAAGAAAAAAAATGAAAAAATAGAAGTAGAACAATTAAATGAGAAGAATGCCGATAATTTTGATTAAAATGATAAATTAACAAAGGAAAATCAAGAAAAAAATGAAAAAATAGATTAAGATAAACTATATTAGATAACATAAAATAATAATTTAAGTTAATAAAATTAAAAACAGAAATAAGCTAATTAAGAAAAATAAGAATAAACTTATTTACAAAATTCAGAATAGAAATTTATAAATTAAATAAATGAAAGCAATTATGGTATTTAAAAAGATGATGATTAATACTTTGAATAAAAGCAAGTACTTGAAGTAAATGAGGGAGATCAAGAATAAGTAAATTTATCATAAGTTAAAAAAAATTAAAATAAAATTTAAAATGATAATTTTTATTAAGATTAAGAATAAATAGAAGTATATTAAAAATATTAAGAAAATAAAGATTTATTAAGCAAAGATATTGAAATTTTAAATTTTATAAGAGGAAATTAATATTAAATATTAACAGATGATTTTAAAAATAACTCAGTGTCAACGTATGATAAAATATTGACCTCTGAATTTAATCAAGAGTAGCCTAACCAATAGTTTTTAAAAGTTTAGAGAATTTCAGATTAATAATCAAATAATAACAATTTATAAATTGAATAAATATAATCAATAAACTTAGAATAAACTGTTTTATAAAATCAATAAGAAAACTAAAATTTATAATTAGATACGGTAGATTATGAGAAAAATTAAATTATAAGAGTAATACAACCAATAATTGAAAATTAAAAAAATATATAAAAAGAAAATGATTAATTATATAAAATAGATAAAATTTACTAGGTCATTATTTAACCCGATTAAGATGATAATTCAACCAAAGTAAAAATATAAGAATAAAATTAATAATAAACTTTATTAAAATATGAAAATCCTATCTGTTTAGGTGGAGATTTTTAAGAAACTGGAAAAGATAAGCAAAATACTACTATTATAAACTTTAATTTTAATAATTAAGATAATAATGAAAAAATAAATGAATAAGAAGATTCTTAATCAGAAAAAAGTAGTAATAGACTTAAAAATTATAATGATACTGAAGATTAGAATTAAACGCAAGATATGATTGATTAATCTTAGTATTTTTAGGACGATAAAATAGATTTATTATATTTGAATCAAAATTATATAAATGATTAACAGAATGAACATAATTTAGAGCAAGAGGAATAAAAAAGTGAAAAAAATTAAAAAATATAAATTAGTATATAAATCCATTAAGATGAGAATTAAATAGAGACGAAATAATAAAATAATTTACAATCAATAAATATACAGGATAAGTAATAAAAAAAAAAAACAAATTTTTTTTGTAAATGTTGTCAATTAATCTGATTTACATTTTTATTTATAAACAAGACTTAGTTATTTTTATTTTTATTATAATTCTAATTAAATTTATTGGATAAAGAAGTAAAAAAATTAAATGAATATTTAAAATGGCTTAATAAGAAAAGATTTTTTTTAAATCTTGGTGATGTAATAATTTTGATAGAATTAAAAAATTAAAAAATAAAAAAAAAATAAAAATGCAAGGTACTTAAGTGGAAGTTTAGGAAAAGGACTAAACTACAACCAACAATAATAATATAATTTTTAATGCATCTGCAAATCAATTTTAACAAGAGAATAAAGGTTAAGAAAATAATAATTTAGAAGATAAAAATATCGAAGATTAAGGTTAAAGTAATTAAAAGATAAATGAAAATAAAGTATAATAATAAGATGAATTTATTGATATTGTTTAAAAAAATAATGATTTAGTTGGATTAAATTAAAATGAGAAATAATTGGATAATGTTGATTCAAATTAAGAAAAAAAATAAATTTATTAAGAAGAATAATAAACAAAAGATTAAAACAATGCTTAATAACATTTAAATTAGAATGGAAATATAAATAGTGACTCTCCATAAAAATAACAATAAACAGAAATATTAGAAGATTAAGAAACGGAATATAAAAATTAAACATTATAAATAAAAAATAAAAATGATGGAAATTAAGTTGATGATGATTAACAAAATTTATAATAAACTTAAGATTAAAATTAATAAGATAATAATGTTTAATAAAATAAATAAGAAAATCTATAAAATGTTTAAGAAAATTAAATAGAAAATGATCAACAACATTTATAATAAACTTAAGATTAGAATTAATAAGAAACTAATGTTCAATAAGATAACAAAGAAAATCTATAAAATGTAAATGAAAATTAAATAGAAAATGAATAACAACATTTATAATAAACTTAGGATTAAAATTAATAAGATACTAATGTTTAATAAAATAAATAAGAAAATCTATAAAATGTTTAAGAAAATTAAATAGAAAATGATTAACAAAATTTATAATAAACTTAAGATTAAAATTAATAAGATACTAATGTTCAATAAGATAACAAAGAAAATCTATAAAATGTAAATGAAAATTAAATAGAAAATGATCAACAACATTTATAATAAACTTAAGATTAGAATTAATAAGAAACTAATGTTCAATAAGATAACAAAGAAAATCTATAAAATGTAAATGAAAATTAAATAGAAAATGAATAACAACATTTATAATAAACTTAGGATTAAAATTAATAAGATACTAATGTTTAATAAAATAAATAAGAAAATCTATAAAATGTTTAAGAAAATTAAATAGAAAATGATCAACAACATTTATAATAAACTTAAGATTAGAATTAATAAGAAACTAATGTTCAATAAGATAACAAAGAAAATCTATAAAATGTAAATGAAAATTAAATAGAAAATGAATAACAACATTTATAATAAACTTAGGATTAAAATTAATAAGATACTAATGTTTAATAAAATAAATAAGAAAATCTATAAAATGTTTAAGAAAATTAAATAGAAAATGATTAACAAAATTTATAATAAACTTAAGATTAAAATTAATAAGATACTAATGTTCAATAAGATAACAAAGAAAATCTATAAAATGTAAATGAAAATTAAATAGAAAATGATCAACAACATTTATAATAAACTTAAGATTAAAATTAATAAGAAACTAATGTTCAATAAGATAACAAAGAAAATCTATAAAATGTAAATGAAAATTAAATAGAAAATGAATAACAACATTTATAATAAACTTAGGATTAAAATTAATAAGATACTAATGTTTAATAAAATAAATAAGAAAATCTATAAAATGTTTAAGAAAATTAAATAGAAAATGATCAACAACATTTATAATAAACTTAAGATTAGAATTAATAAGAAACTAATGTTCAATAAGATAACAAAGAAAATCTATAAAATGTAAATGAAAATTAAATAGAAAATGAATAACAACATTTATAATAAACTTAGGATTAAAATTAATAAGATACTAATGTTTAATAAAATAAATAAGAAAATCTATAAAATGTTTAAGAAAATTAAATAGAAAATGATCAACAACATTTATAATAAACTTAAGATTAGAATTAATAAGAAACTAATGTTCAATAAGATAACAAAGAAAATCTATAAAATGTAAATGAAAATTAAATAGAAAATGAATAACAACATTTATAATAAACTTAGGATTAAAATTAATAAGATACTAATGTTTAATAAGATAACTAAGAAAATCTATAAAATGTTTAAGAAAATTAAATAGAAAATGATTAATAAAATTTATAATAAACTTAAGATTAGAATTAATAAGAAACTAATGTTTAATAAGATAAATAACAAAATCTGTAAAATTTTGATGATGAAAATGAAAAGGACTAAAGATAAATAAGTTTAGAATAGAATGTGACAAATAATTAATTCAATTCATAATAAGTTTTTTAAAATAGCAATGAACATCACATCCATGATTTTCAATAAAATCTACAATAAAGATAAGTTTTAGAAGAATAATAATCTAATTTTTAAAACGATAAATAATAAGATTTTAAAATTAAACACGGAAATGATTCAAATGATTTTCTTTAAAAAAATGTAGAAACATAATAACAATAAAATACTAATGATTAAAACGATACCTAATTTAATCAACAAAGTAGTTTTTAAAATGAAATTGATGATGCTTCATAAAATTTAAAATAAATTTCCATGTAATAAGAAGAGTAAGTAATTAATGATTTAAATACCACATTATTTGAATTAAATACAAAAAATGAAAATGAACCTGATATTGGAGAAAATATTGAAGATGTTCAATCAAATAAACATTAAACATAAGCATGTTTACAATAATGTGAAAATAATAATTAAATGAATATAAATGAAGAAATATAAAATAAAAAAGAAGTTAATGTCGAATAAAATTAACAATAAACATAAGTATTAGAAGTATTGGTATAATAAACTAATTTTTAAAAATAGTTGTAAAAAGATCTCAAAAATTAGGATGAAAATGAAATTGATGATATTCAATAAAACAATGAGCAAATGTAGATAAATTAAGAATAATTAGAATTTTAAAATAATAGCAATTTATAAGATTAACATTTAATTTAATTATCTCATTAAGCACCAATTTAATTTCAAGTACCTCTTAAATAAGCTATTATTAAAGAGGTGAATGAAGATATGGAAAATAATTAGAAGGATAAAGAAAACAAAAAATCTGATAGAACTTGTAATTGTTTGATATTTTGATATTTTAGACATAAATGAGCAATTATATATAATTTAGCTTAATAATTTTTCTAAAAATTTATCTTATAGAAGAAGTTTCTTTGTTAACCTAAAAATACAATTAATTTAACTAAATTANGTAAATGAAAATTAAATAGAAAATGATCAACAACATTTATAATAAACTTAGGATTAAAATTAATAAGATACTAATGTTTAATAAGATAACTAAGAAAATCTATAAAATGTTTAAGAAAATTAAATAGAAAATGATTAATAAAATTTATAATAAACTTAAGATTAGAATTAATAAGAAACTAATGTTTAATAAGATAAATAACAAAATCTGTAAAATTTTGATGATGAAAATGAAAAGGACTAAAGATAAATAAGTTTAGAATAGAATGTGACAAATAATTAATTCAATTCATAATAAGTTTTTTAAAATAGCAATGAACATCACATCCATGATTTTCAATAAAATCTACAATAAAGATAAGTTTTAGAAGAATAATAATCTAATTTTTAAAACGATAAATAATAAGATTTTAAAATTAAACACGGAAATGATTCAAATGATTTTCTTTAAAAAAATGTAGAAACATAATAACAATAAAATACTAATGATTAAAACGATACCTAATTTAATCAACAAAGTAGTTTTTAAAATGAAATTGATGATGCTTCATAAAATTTAAAATAAATTTCCATGTAATAAGAAGAGTAAGTAATTAATGATTTAAATACCACATTATTTGAATTAAATACAAAAAATGAAAATGAACCTGATATTGGAGAAAATATTGAAGATGTTCAATCAAATAAACATTAAACATAAGCATGTTTACAATAATGTGAAAATAATAATTAAATGAATATAAATGAAGAAATATAAAATAAAAAAGAAGTTAATGTCGAATAAAATTAACAATAAACATAAGTATTAGAAGTATTGGTATAATAAACTAATTTTTAAAAATAGTTGTAAAAAGATCTCAAAAATTAGGATGAAAATGAAATTGATGATATTCAATAAAACAATGAGCAAATGTAGATAAATTAAGAATAATTAGAATTTTAAAATAATAGCAATTTATAAGATTAACATTTAATTTAATTATCTCATTAAGCACCAATTTAATTTCAAGTACCTCTTAAATAAGCTATTATTAAAGAGGTGAATGAAGATATGGAAAATAATTAGAAGGATAAAGAAAACAAAAAATCTGATAGAACTTGTAATTGTTTGATATTTTGATATTTTAGACATAAATGAGCAATTATATATAATTTAGCTTAATAATTTTTCTAAAAATTTATCTTATAGAAGAAGTTTCTTTGTTAACCTAAAAATACAATTAATTTAACTAAATTATTATTGAGGTAATCTTTTTTCTTAGCCTAAATTTCTAGTGGCTGTTAAAAATTTTCTGTATAAAATCAAATTGATTTGCATTTAAAATGATATTCAAAAGTATAATATAACAAACAGAAATAGATAATTCAATTTGCTTTTACTTAGAGTAAAGTATTATCTTTTGAGTTATTAAATTTTCCTAATATCCCAATACATAATTCTCATCTTAACCATGACCTCTCCTTCAAAAAACTTGTAATGATATTTTCTTTTTATTGCTTATATCCATTAGTCTACTTCCCTCAACTTATTGTACAGTGAATTTTGTTATCTATTATTCCTATTGCTATATCAAATTCACTGGAGGTATTATTCCTTATTTCAATGAGTCTTTTTATTATTCTACATGATCTTCCATCACTTTGTTATTCTAAAATTTTAAATACATTATCACATTCCTTTTAAGTCTTTCCAGTTTTTCCTGTACTACATTTTTTCTCCAGTTACTACTCCACTTGTTCTATCTAATTCTATTTCTAAATTAATACCATAATTTTATCTGAATTTGTAATTTAATTAATTTATTGATAGGATAGTATAAATTTATGAAATATTAATAATAATAATATTTAATAATTTGTTAGATATATTATCAGAAACATTTTCTGTGAACAATTGTTGGTCCTGATTCATCATACTCAGATCTTGTAACCCACTAAGATTAAAATGTAGTTAGTGTAGATTAAATAGAGCCTCCAATCCAGACTGAAAATTTCCTCTCAGGAGGAGCAATTACTTTAATTTTCATTGATGAAGGTGCTAAATTTGTCATTTCTTTAGTTAATCTCTCTGGTATTCCTGGAAAGAGAGTTGTACCTCCAGACATAACAATATTATTATAAAGATCTTTTCTTACATCGATATCACATTTCATAATTGAAGAAAAAGACAATTAATGAATACCTGCAACTTCTAATCCAATAAGTTCAGGTTAAAATAATATTTCAGAACATCTATATCTCTAATCTTTAATAGTCAATATATTCCCATCAGGTAATTCATATGGTCTATTTTAAGAATTACTTTCTTAATATTTTTTATATTCTTCTTTAGGATCTAATGCTGTATAACACAATTTCTCTTTAATATCTTTAACAATCTCTCTTTCGGCTGATGAAGTAAATGAATATCCTAATTCATTAAGAATATTTGTCAAATAATCTGTGCATGCTCTACCTGCTAAATCGATTCGAGTGATAGCATGAGGCATTTAATAACCTTCAAAAATAGGTACACAATGAGTTACTCCATCTCCTGAATCAACTACTAATCCTGTAGTTCTACCTGATGAATAAAGGGATAAAACAGCTTAAATTGATACATAAAAAGATGGAACATTAAAAGTTTCAAACATTATTTATATCATTCTTTCTCTATTAAATTTAGGATTCATTGGAGCTTCTGTTAATAAAACTGGTTAATCTTCAGGAGACACTCTTAATTCATTATAAAAAGTATGATGCCATATTCTTTCCATATCATCCCAATTATTTACTATTCCATTATCTATGGGATATTTCAATGTTAAAATTCCTCTTTTTGCTTATGCTTCATCTCCAACAAATAAATCTTTGTTATCCATTGTACACATTGCATTCTTTTATTTTGTTCTACCTACAATTGCTGGAAAACAACATCTAGGTGCATCTTCTCCTGCTATACCTGCTTTACATTATCCAGAACCATTATCTATTATTACTGCTGGCTATTATTCTTACATTCAATTTTAGATTTATTTAAATTAATCAATCATTATTATACTTTTATTTTTCTAGAGGATTATTTTCAATATTTCTGGTTACTTCTGATTTATTTATCAATTTATGGCTATTATTATATTTAATTTTAATATTAACCATATTTAAAATTTTTATTTTTTATAATATTTATTTATTAGAAATTATTACCAACAAAACAGAACATCTCTAATTTATAAAATGTTTAATAAATCTAATAATTAATCTAACCTTTCCATTAATTTACATTTTATTAATTTATAAATAACAAATAAATTGAATTATTTTAGTTTTTATTTCTTTAAAAATTATTGAAGCTGTAAGTTTGATTGCCTCTCCTAATTTACCTTAAAATAGTATTTTTAGATGCACAAAAGATAATGACATTTTATTGTATAAAATAAGAAAAACTTAAGATAGAATTGAAAAAATCTAAATCTTTAAGAATGAATAAAGAATAGAGACAGAGAATAATTATAAGTAATATACTTTGAATTATTATAAAATTATGTACTTAACATTTTTTATTTTTATCATTCTTTAAAAGAAGCCTTTTTCAAATTCTCAACAAATAGTTTATTATAGTTGACTACCTTATTGGCTAAAGTATTCAAAAGATCTTTTGGAGCATCTCCTTTTGGGTCAAAATTTTAAACCATTGTCACTAAAGTTTATCCATTTTCAAGTGGTTTAAATCCAAAGAAACTAAGGAATATTTCTGCTCTAACATATTCTTCTTTTATTGGCATTTCAGCTAATTCAATAGATTTTGCTATTAATGTATAACAATAAATTTTACAAACTAAAAAGTTTGTACCATCTGGTAATTAGGATGCTCTGGATACAGTTACAATATCTCTTTATTATGTTAAGATTTAATTAGGTTTTGTTAAAACATATTAAATAGTAGTATTATCATCAATTTTCTTAATTAGATTAATCTAAAGTAATATTTAATGTTTAATAATACTTCTTAAGCTGTATGATTATATTCCTAAAATCTTGTGTGATCTTTAAGTAAATCAACAGCTTTCTTAGGGTCAATGTCAGCATAAAGTTCAGATCTTGTGATCTTCCATCCTGAAGAGCCAGGTTTGGAATAAAATACAACTCCATCTTGCTCAATTTCTTTTTCCCATTTACCTTCTTCAATAGTTTAATATGCTAATTCAATAGATTTAGTTTGTAACTCTTAGATATAATTTAATGACTTACAGTCTAATTCACCTTGGTAATTCACTTACATATTTGTTATATACTTATTTAATTAGAACACTAGACTTAGATTTACATTTAAATAATCTTAAAATAACACTATGTTCCATAAGAATATTAATACAGAATATTAGAAATTCCTATTATTTTTTGAATATAAATTTAATTAATTTTTTTTTGTATTTAAAACAATAATTCTCTAAATAATCACTCTTTAATTCTAAATATTTTATTAAATTGATTAATCTAATATAATCGATATTACATTTAAAAAATAACTAGTCTATAGACAGTATTTATTATATAAAGAATATGAATATTTTTAATCCATGAAAATGTTATTATTATTTTTAATGCTGTCTAAGTTAAAATGTTATAATCAAATTTTTACAAATAAAATTATGATAGATTCTTATCCTCCTGTTGTAATTGAAAATTCTTCATGTAATATAAGGGCAGGAATAGTTGGAGATTCAGCTCCCAGATGCTGTTTTCCAACTGAAGTTAAAAAATTAAGAGATTGTAAATAAAAAAGAATATTAATTGGAAATGATATTGAAGATAACCTATAAAATTATTAGACTTGTTATCCAATTTAATTTGGCTAAATAACGGATTGGGAAGCTATGGAATAAATTTGGCATTATATATTTGAGACCCAATTAAAAATTTCACCTTCAAATCATCCTGTGTTATTGACAAAAGCACCTAGAAATCCAAAAATCAATTAAGAGAAGACGACATAGTTTATGTTTGAAAATTTTGAAGTTCCTTTTCTTCATATTTCATATCAAACTGTGCTTTCATTATATTCATTAGGGAAAACTACAGGTGTGATATTAGATTCAGGAGAAGGCATTACGAATTGTGTACCAATTTATGAAGGTTTCTAATTAAGTTCTTAGCTTTAAAGATTAGATGTTGCTGGTAGCAGTTGTACCAATTATTTATCATTATTGTTAAAAGATGAGTTTCTAAATATATCAACTCCAAGTTAAAGAAATAAAATTGCTAAAGATATTAAAGAATCTCTATGTTATGTAGCATAAGATCCTATTGCAGAAGATAATAAATATTTAGGAAACACTTCAAATTATAGTTAACACATTCTACCTGATGGATATAAATTAACAATAAAAGAATAAAAATATCAATGTCCAGAAATTTTATTCAATCCTAAAATAGCTGGATATGAAATGCCAGGTATTCACTAAATAACATATAAATCTATCTTTCAATCTGATAGAGACATTTAACAATAACTTTATAATAATATAGTTATTACTGGAGGAACAACTTTATTTCCTGGACTTTAAGATAGACTTGTTAAAGAAATTAATAATTTAGTTCAATCACCTCAAACGAGAGTTCTTGTACCTCCAAATAGATTAAATTCAACTTGGATTGGAGGATCCATTGTAAGTACATTAATGAATTTTAAACCATTTTGGATTACTAAACATGAATATGAAGAATTTGGACCATAAATTGCTCACATTAAATGCTTTTGACTTGAAAATTAATAATGATCTAACATTTGTAGAACTTATTAATTAATTCCAACATATAATCAAATAAATATCAAATTTTTACATTAACATTTTCTTCTTATATAAATGATTGATATTCATCACCTTTTATCTTCTAAAAATATTTAAGATCATTCATAAGCTTCTATTCACCCTCCAATCCAAAAAGAGAATTTTTTTAGTGTTCTATTAGATTCAATTTATAAATCTAACTTCAAATTTTTACATTTGTTCAATTCTAATAGAAAATACTTCAAAATATCTTCTAGATATCACTAAATTTTTTAAACAATTTTATTCTATTCGCTGATTTCAATCAGTTTGCTCTAAGCTACTTATAGTATAGTAAATAAATTTTTATTAAAAAAATCAAGCCTGCTCTTAAAAACAATAAACAAATTTATCATCAATAATAATATAATTTGGATACATATTTATTCATGAAATAATAATTAATTATTAATATGATAAATGAAAATAATTAATTTATTTATATGATTCATATTCCATCGTCAATTACATCCTCTTCCTAGAAATCATCTTCATCTTTTGGTTGTTATTATTTTCCAAATGGTTGCTTTTTATTTTATTATTATTATTATTACTATTGACCACCTACTTTTTATTTCATATAATTCATAACTTTTTAAATCTAAAAATAAATAAAAATAGTACTAATTCTTAATCTAAATAGGGATTGAGTACAATAGATTTCTTCTACATTTTTTACATTTCATCATAAGCTTTTTCATATTATCCTTGAGAATAATAATATTCTACTAATTCAGCAAAGATATCCCCCTATCTAACTGCATACTCAATATTACCCTAAAATAAATGAAAAATATTATACATCATTTAATAATTTATAGTAAATTTATAACATCTCTTATGGTGATTTCTATTTTGCTTGAACAAAATCTAAAATCAATTTTAATTTCTATTATAATTATGTTGTTTTTTATTGATTAGTTGATTTATCTGAATATTTAATAGCTTCTTTTAATGCAGCACAAGCTTTTTCATAATCTCTATATTCATCTATTTCAACTGAAGAGCAAGCTTCAAAGAAATTGGCTAAATGATCAAATGCTTTAGCTTTATTGTAAAATTGTATAATATGTTTCATAAGTTCAGGTGTTTTATGCCAATCACCAGTTTAAAGGTAATTACCAGCTAGAATGTAAATTTCAGCCATTCTAGCATTATTTGCAAATGCAATAATTTTTTCAACATCACCTAATTTACAAAGAGCTTTCATTGCTTTAACTCTTTCTCCCATTTATATATACATTTTAGATGCTTATTCAAAATTTCCAATTTTTTTTGATTTTTCAGCAATAAGTAATTAGACTTCTTTTTTTTTTTTATCATCAAGTCCATCTAACATTTATTTAACTAGATCATCAGTAATTTATAAACCTTAATTATCACAAGTTTCTAAGACTTTTTCAAATTATTTTTTATTAATTAAATCTTACAATGATCCAGGAGGTGGTGTTTTATCCTTTTATTAAGTAGTTTATTATTATTATTATTATTATGAGGAATTATTTATTTTTTATTATGATGTAGTTTCTTTTAATGAACCAGTATTTGTAAATGTCAAATCTACAGTTTCTTATTTTTGGAGTGAAATCTCTTAATTAATTTTTTTGACATAATCAGTTAATTTTTCTCTTTAAGCTAGATACAACGCTTTTTATAATTATCCACCTCTCATATAAAGTAAAACAGCTTTATCAATAATTTTCTTTTATTCAAAATATATAGCAGATTAAATCATAATTAATTTAGGTGCTTATAATGAAATAGCAGTAACATCAGAAATAGAATTAACTTATTTGGCTAATCTTATAGCTTCACTATAGTATTAAGCTTTAGCATAATATTGTATAGCTTCTGGAATAATATTCTTTGCTTCTAAATATTTAGCTAAGAAATAATGAGCAGCTGGATCATTCTTATCATTACAAGTTTCTTTTGCATGTCTTAAATTATCTTAGTGCAATAATACTCTAACAATTCCTAATGCATCATTAGCATCTCTATAAAACTTCATTGCTTCATCATATGATTCTTAAGATTCTAAATGATTACCCCACCATTTATATAGTATTGGATCCTTCTTTTATAATACATAGCCTTCTAAATATTTTAATTCATCAGCTTCATAAAACATCCTTGGTATTTCTTTTTATGCATTTCCTGATTTCTCATAATACTAAATAGCCTTATCCCATTCTTTAGAAATTTCATAAAATTAAGCTAATTTATAATAAGTTGATAAAAGATTTATTCTATCATGTTTCTCTGCTATTTCTAATGCCTTTTCCCATTATCCTTATGCTTAATACAATTTATTAAGTAAATCATATCTTTTGCATTAGTAATATAATTTCTCTGCTTCTTATATCATATTTAATTGAATAGCAACCATAGCTAATTAAGCTTCGAATTCAGGTTCTTTCTTTGTTTCTCTAATAGCCTTAGCACCTCTTGCAAATCTCATATTTCCTATACAAATTTCAGCTACATCTAATCTCCTTGTTTTAACACTCATTTAAGCCATCTTTTCCCACACTGTTGGATTTTAAATTGCTTTTACAGATTTATAAGCCTCATCTAAATTACCACAAGATAAATGATAAGAGAAATTTATAACTGCTCTTTTTGTTGGTTCATCTGCTCTCTCTAAACCTGTAAAATCATTCATTAATATATCTTAAATTCTATATTGTTATTCTTTCTTCTAAATTACATTAATATGAGGAATACGAATAGATAATATTCCCTCTTATTTCTCTTCAAGTACATAACAATCTTATTCTTTAATTCCTGTTTATGGATTGAAAAAGAAAGTAAAAAACTTCTTGGCTCTAAAATCAGCTTATTCCTCTTCAACATCATTTTCACTATTAGTTTTTATCTTTGTGCATATTGTAGTTACTCCAAAAAATCTAGGATCTGAATAATCCCACATAATCTTCATTGCTTTTCTATATTTAGGTAATTCAAATGATTAAAAATTATTGTTCTCTGGATTGTAAACAAAAAATAAATCATTTTAATTTCCATGATTATCTGCTATAATAGCTACATTAGAGCCATCACAATTTACAGCACATTATTTTATTGTACCTAATGGACCTTTGTCATTCTCAAATTTGCAATTAAACCCTTATAATTAAGCCTCTCTTCTACTAAAATCATATAATCTAAAATAATTATTATGTGTCCATATAACCATTGTTTTGTTATTGAATTCATAATTAGCTATTATACCATCACTCTCTGAAAAATCTACAAAATATTTTTAAACTCCTTTAAAGTTTGTTACTTCAAATTTATATTCATAAAACAATATTAAATCTTCTTAAAATAGAGCAGCTTTCACACACTTTCTGTCAAACGAAGATTTTGAAATAATTTAAGAATTATCTATATAAATTTATTTGTATTTTACTTGCAAATTCACTAATTTCAATCTTATTTGCACTTTAAATCATAAGATATTATTAAGTGCAATCAATTGATTTTATTGGATATTTACTATCCCATAAAAACATTGACCAAGGTCCTTTTTCTTTATCTTGATTTTAAGAATCATTTTTAAAATATATTAAAATTTTGTTATGCTCTACTTACAAAACCCTTACATTTTCTTGTACTTTTCCATGAACTAATGATTCTTAAACTATTCTAACAGAATCTGCTGATCTTGCTGCAATTACTCCACTGTTCTTACCTATAGCAATTTCATTAATTGTTTTATTATGATTAATTATTTTTAATGCTTTCCATTATTCACTCTCAACAGGAGATTCATCTGTCAATGCAAAGTTTTTCCAAAATACCAATCTACCATCTTTAGTCCCTGCAACTAAATTCTTAGATTTCTTGCTATATTATACACATGTGATTTTATCATTTAATATCTTATCTTAAGGATACATCTCTTAAAATTCATGCAGTGTGATAACATAATTTTCATCTGCTTCCAATTAAAACATTCTTATCATATTTTCATTTGATGAAATTCCAATTAAACATTAACCAATCCAAACAGATTAAAGTGATTCTGGTTCTCCTGCAATAGATAATTTAACTTTTTTATCTGGCTATGTCTTTTCACTAGTACTTATTTTAAATTAAACCAAAAGTAAACCACTTGTGATTATGATCACTGAATTATATTTTTCATAAATCATTAAACACTTAATACTACCAACTACTTTGCATACTTCTGAACAATGTTTACTATCATCTGCCAAACAAACTAATCCTGATTTTCCTCCAAAAAAGAATAAATTTTAAGCCTTGATGATATTATTTAAATCAGCAAAAATGCAAATTGTCATAATGCCTTCTTTTTAATATGTGCTCATAGGTGTTATTCCTCTCCATACTACTACCAGACCAGATATATCTGCACTAACCATTCTAGATCCATTTGTATTATATTGTATTAAATTAATTTCTTCTTTATGCACTGCTGATTCTTCCTTTGCTGTACGTGTTTCTTCAGACCATATAGTTATTGTACCTACAATTAATATTCTTATATCTACCATTTTACCATCCTATTGCTAATTATGGTTGAATAGGATGCCAGGCTATTGAAGTCGGTTTCTAATTACGAGCCAATTCATAATCAAATTTCTCACCTTAATCATTATACAACATCACCCGAGATATTGTACATATTGCTATTGATGGACTAATAGCACTATGTGATACAGACATCATTGTTATTGCTTCATTTTTTATTTATATCGTATGTTCACTTAAAATTGACATTTTTTAATATTAAAATTCAAAATTTCAATTCTCTTGCTAACTAATCACTCAAACTCATTACTTATTTCTAATTACTATTCTATTAACTCTATTCATGTCCAATCTACAAATTTACTATATATAAAACTTATATATCATAAATTATTCTTTTAATAGTTTTTTTTGCCTAATCAAAAATGTTCTCTTATTCTTGATTTTACTCTTTTCATATTTAAATTACTTTCATATCATAAAAAAATAATAATTTACTATCTATATCTTATAACTATTGTGATCTTCTAAAAAGCAACAACACTATATCTCATCGCTAAGTTATGAATTTCATTACTTAAAACATCTATATATCTCTTGAATTGATATCTATATTTCATAAATATTTATTTGACACTAAGATAGACATCTTCTACATTAATATGTAAAATAGAATAATAATTTTGTACTTATAAATCATGAGAGAACATTTAGAAATCACATTAGATTTATAGTAAGATTATCAGAGGATAGTTAATTTATATAAATTGTATTAATTTTCTTTTGAAATGAAGAAGGAGTCTAGAATCGATTATTATAGATGATAATAATTATTTTAATATTAAATTCAATTTGTTTGTGAGATCTGATTAAAATATGTGACTGCCTAGTTATAGAGATTTGTATATTTAAGTATTTCTTCTTAAGTACGTTCTGGAGCATGAATTATATTTTTAATACACTCAGCAACAGTGATAAGATTACCAACTCTTACCTATTCCTAAGCTATTTTTAATTTTTATATTATATCCTATATTTTATTTGTATATCTCACATCTTATGGAAATATATATTGCATTTCAAATATAATATGTTAAAAGACTGATTGCATAGGGTCTTCTTGCTAGACTTAGACAGATTGCGAGATCTAAGGTTATTATGTAAATGGTATTGGTTATTATGGAGTTGTGTCAGAGTCTAAAATAGAAAATAAAATACCATGAATATATTAACAATTTTAGCCATTTTTACAATAATTTTAAGCATGGTATTTACAAGGAACAAAATAATAATAATTTAAGCAATACTTTAAAAAATGGGAGATTAAGGTTTATTTATTGGTTATTCAATAACAGTAGCCATGGCTGATAAAGCAGAAGCAGGTAAAGGATCTTTAAAGGATAAGATATTGTTAATTACCATTAATTTATCTTTATTCTTCAGTTCCATGTGCAAATTGACATTTAGTTCCAATAGCACATTATTTAGTAGCTTTAAAAAAATAAAATATATTACCTTAATAATGACGACATAGCATGGTTTTGTATTTAGCATTAGGTACATTTTATTATTGCAATTAACTTCCTCCAAATTAATATGACATTTATATGATAATATAAATAATCGTTTTATAATGCATCTAATATTGATTTTATTAGTATTTTTAGGAAATTGCAAGTTAAGCACAAAACCACACCAGAATCACTTTGAAAATATATTTTATTATGATGAAGAATATTACAAAGTAATTGAAATAAAAAAGATTAGAATAATCTATATGTTTCAAGAGTATATTGGAATGCCAATTTCGATAAGCGTCTAAAAGATGTAGATCCACGATATTTGTATTATAAAGATGGAGACTTGAAAAGATATACAAAATATGATAAAATAGGATAAGGAGCATTTTCTTAAGTTTTCCTTGGACTTCGAGATGATGGAGAGATTGTAGTCATGAAAGAACTTAAACCGATGAAATGGTAGGCAATTAATAGAGAGATTCAAGTATTAAAAGCTATAAAAGGAACAACCAATACACTATAGTTGATAGATGCTGTTAGAAATTAGAATAAGAAATAAAATGCAACATTTATTTATAAATATCTGAGTAGTGTGAATTTACTTCATTTATTTGGAAAGCTTGAGTTACCAAAGATAAAATTATATATGTACTAATTACTAAAAGTATTTACAATACTTAAAAGGCTTTAAATTAAGTACATAGTAAAGGAGTCATGCATAGAGATGTCAAGATGGCTAACATTATAATAAAGGAAGATGATACACTTTATCTAATTGATTGGGGCTTAGGAGAGTTCTACCATCCAAAAAAGAGATATAATACTAAAGTAGGGACTCGTTATTAAAAGGCTCCAGAATTATTAGTCAACAATAAATAATATGATTACAGTATTGATATGTGGTCATTTGGTTGTACATTAGCAAGCATGATTTTTCAAAAATAGCCTTTATTTAAAGGCAAAGATATTTATGATTAGTTAGATAAAATTGTTGCAGTTCTTGGCACTGAAGATCTTCTTAAATATTTACATAAATACGATATTATTTACCCTGATCCACCAATGTATATTATAAATAAATACTTTAGACATTCTTAAAAACCTTTTACAATTTTTATAAATCCAGAAAATGCTCATTTAATTACAAAAGAAGGTTTAGATCTGATCAGTAAATTGTTAGTTTATGATCATAAATTAAGACTTACTGCAGCTGAGGCTATGGCTCATTCTTTTTTTGATGGTTTTAGAATTTGAATTATTTTATTAAATGTAAAAAAATATTGTTCCTCTTTTAACCCTAAATAATGGCAATAAAATACCATAAATAGGTTATGGTACCTATCAGTGTAAAGGAAATGAATTAATTGATGGAATCAAATATGCTCTAGAAGTGTAATCAGATTCATAACCTATTTTTTAGAGGATATACTCATATAGATTCTGCTTCTTGTTATAGAAATGGAAAAGATATTAGAGTGCCTAAACGTGAGGAATTTTTCATCACTTCCAAAATAGCTCCATAAGAATAAGGATATGAAAATACTCTTAAAGCCTGCAAAAAAATTCTTCAAGATTTAGATACTACATATCTTGATTTATTATTAATTCATTGGCCAGGTTCATCAGGTAATAAACCTAATAGTCCTGAGAATGCCACTGTCAGACTTTAAACTTATAAAGCTTTAGAGTAGTTATTTCAAGAAGGATTAATTAAAAATATTGGAGTCAGTAATTTTTTAAAACATCATCTTGAACATCTTTTGTAACATTGTAAAATTAAACCTGTTATCAACCAAATTGAAGTACATCCTTTATGTTGGGATTAAGCTACTGTTCAATTTTGTCAATAACAAAGTAATTTTTAGTAATATTCCTTTAGACATTTTAATAGAGGCCTACTCTCCTATTGCAAGAAATGACCCAAAATTAATCTAGAATTAAAATATGATAGAGATTTCCAAGAAATATAATAAAACTGTAGCTTAATTAAGTCTTAGATGGGCTATTCAAAAAGGATTTATTGTATTACCAAAATCAAAGACCCCAAAGTACATAAAGGAAAATATTGAGATTTTTGATTTTTAAATTTGTGAAGATGATATGAAAGCAATTGATAATCTAAATCAAAATTATCATACATGTTGGGATCCTAGTACAGTTACTTATTGATTAATTATTTATTGTTAAAAAAATGAGTGATATTGTTCAAAAGATGTTTATTTATTCACATAAATATATAAAAAAATGATTGAAAAGAACTCAATTCTTGGAATAACGAATACTATTAATAATTAAATTAAATGGTGAGACGTGTGATTGTGTTATTACTATTAGGAATAGTTCTTGGATTACAACCATATGAAGCTGATTTCTTGATGTTTGATTAAGATGGGGATTAAAAGCTAAAATATGATGAATTAAGAGCTCAATTCCCTTCTTAGAATCCATATAATACAGCCGATTTTGTTGCTTAATTCTTCTTAGATTATGATTCCAATGGAGGTATATGAGAATAATCTTATTGTTATTTAGATAAAATCATTGAATTCAAAGAGTATGCAGCCAAACGAGATTAATAAAAATTAGAATTAGAATAATAATAATAGTAATAATCAATAAGTTCTATGTATCATGATGATTTGTGATTTTTTAACAGTATTTTAGTTTATGCAAACACTTTTAAAACATCATATCTCATTTTTATTAATTCTTTCTTATTTGGTACTTTTAATAATTTTTAATTTAAAATATTTTATCATATATCAATATTAGAATCTAAACTTAATTATTAAATAAAAATCAATTGTACATATAAAATAAATAAAATATCTCATAAAAATTTATCATTCAAAATGAAATTAATGAAAAGATTTTTCTTAATAGTCTTTAAGCCAAAGATCCTTTTTCTGGTTTATTAAGAATGAATTTATCAACTGCCATACCTAAAATCTATAAGAAAAAATATCCCATAGCCAAAGATGAAAAAGTTAAAATATTGAAAGGCATAGAAAAATCTGGATAGGGTTATCTTGTCACTTAATGAGAGGTTAAGTATAATTCTCCATTAAAAATTACAGGAGTAGTAATCTAACTTAAATAGTTATTTTTACAATGTCCTATCCTCTTTCAGGATCATGAGGATATTCTTCAAAACTTTTAAGTTTCTTGCTAAACTTAATTTTGACCAAAAAGGTTTCATTTTATTTAATTTTAGCATTGATAATTATTTTTTTAGTTTCTTTCTCCCAAATGAATTATTTTTAACTTTCTAAATTTGTTTCTAATGTATGATAAATAGGAGTGAATTCATGTGGAAAATAGAGTAATACACTTACAATACCATCTTCATTTGCAGTCACTTACAAATGGATGTAAGAATCAAAAGCAAACCAAGGCCCAGCACTGAATTTTCTAAGAGTTACTTAATTATAATAATATTAGCAATACTTTTAGGTGAATATTTGATCATGTTTGTATCATCTTATATTTTACTTAATTATCCCATCCTAAATTATTCAGCTGATTTTAAATTATACGTTATTTCCCTAGTAGAATGTTAAATAAATTCAGAATCAAATTCAGGGCATGAATGATATGATAAATTTGGATCTAAATTAAAAATCTTAGAAATAGATTAAGTCTCATATTTCACTAGAAGCACAATTTTTTAATATGCTGTTTTTGTGGACTCGTCATATTAAAATTTAGCTTAAAGAGATAAGTATGATGATCTAAAAATTGTGTTAGGATCAATAATTTGAGCAACTCCTTTCTTCCCATTACAACCAAAGTATTTTAAAATTGATTCTATTCCATCAATGCAAATATTATCAGTAGGGTCTTGTGCCAAAAGTACCTTACCTACTTATATTGTATCATCATCAAATCCCATAAAAGAAAGGTAAGACTAATTTCCATTAAATTTATAATAATAGGCCTAATCATGAATCATATTGTATTTTGCAATTCTGAAAATTTCAGAAATTTGATTTATAGCAATTTATTAATCAGCATCTTCATTTGTAATAATTAAAACTCCATGTTAAGGGGCATTGAGTTCAGGCATCATTCCTTGAGTTGAACTGATATATAATTCTCTGACCTTTCCTTCTATGTGCAAATTTTCTAAAAATGATCTAGGAAATAATGAAAAGGGTTATGTAGTTTTAGTGAAATCAATTTCATGTTTATTAATTATTCTAAATTCTGCAATTGATTCATCAGCATTTGGATAATGAAAGTGCAATTTAGAGGAAAATTAGGCTTAAACATAAACTAAGAAAAATATAAACATTAATTATTTTTATAATCAATATTTTGAGGCTTATCTCAATATGAGAATATTAAAAACTACATAATTATACAAATTTTAATCAACATATCTAAAGTTTGGATGGCATTTAATAGAATTTAGTATATTCAAAAATATATTTGATAGCATAATAAAATTGAATATATGATAAAAGTAAATAAACCTTTTTACTGAGAATTTTATTGAAAAAATTAGAAGTAAAATGTAATTTTATTTCTAATTAATGAGATTATTACTTAGAATAAGATTAAAGAAATATAAATCAATCATTTATATTCCGCAACATCTTTCTGAATAAATAAAATTATAAAGATTTTAATGTATAACCTCACCCTAAGCTTTTCTTAATTTGGTATTTAAAAGACTCCCTTTTAATTATATGATTGTTAAAATGAGAGTCTAAAAACAAAAAATTTGTAAAGAGATAAATAACCAATTCATCTTGTCACAATAAAAATTAGATAATTGTTATAGTTCACTGAAATGATTTCTGTGATTCCTAGAATTCTGACTCAGCCAAATAAAGGTATCTGAATGTGTTAAACGTAGCTGTTTATAATGATGGATTAGATAATGAAAATTATGATTTAATTGTAAGATTGGATGATTAGATAGTAAATCAAAAGGCATAAAATATATATATTGCTAAAGAATTATTAGGTGTTGGAACATTCGGGAGTGTTTATAGATGTGTAAAAGATAATTCAAATTTTGCAATAAAAATTATAAAAAATATAAATGCATACAATTTGCAAGCAATGAAAGAAATTAAATTGATTAGATTGCTAAATAAAAAAAAAGAGCATGAATGCATAATTAAGTTGATTGATTATTTTCTTTTTAAAAATCATGTTTGCATAGTTTTTCCATTATTGGGATTTAATTTAGAAGAATTATTATAAGAAACTAAATATCAAGGTCTTTCATTGTACATGATTAAAAATATTTTAAAATAATTAATATCAGGATTAGAATTTTTGCACTAACTAAATTGGGTCCATTGTGATATCAAACCAGAAAATATTTTATTCACTGAGTAAGTTTTAAAAAGTATATTAGTTACAAAGCAAAATAAATATAAATAATTGATTTTGGATCTGCTTCTGAAGTAAATGTCAATTTATATTATTACATATAAAGTTTATATTATAGAGCACCTGAAGTATTTAAAAATATATATACCAGATAATTCTAGGTTATAAAAAAACATGTGCAATAGATATGTGGTCAGTAGGATGTGTAGCAGCACAGTTGTATTTAGGATATCCTTTATTCTAAGGAACTTCATCTTTTGACCAACTTTAGAAAATTCTTGGATTAATTTCTATGTAATTTATAATTTATCACTAAAATTAGCAACAACTAAGAACTCATCTCAAATAGTCCAAAATGTAATGAATATTTTATGAAGGATAATTAAAATTATGTTATCAAAAATTTGAAAATTTACTAGAATGAATTTAATTTGAATCTACCTGACCCTGGAATATAAAATATAACTAAAATTTAAGAGTTGTATTTGGAATTCAATAAATCAAGTTTAAGAACAATCCAAGGTTCAAATTGGTAAGAAACTTATAATTAGAGATGGCCACTATGGAAGACTTCGTAGATTTACTAAAGAAGTTGCTAGAATTTGATCCAACTGAACGTATCACCGCTAGCCAAAGTTTGCAACATCCATTTTTAAGAGACTTTTAATTTAATATTAATGACATTCTTAAGTAGGACTTCTAATATCAATGATAAATAGATAAACTATAAGTGTTGTGTGACAATTAAATATATATATATATAAATGGGTGTCATTCAATTTCATCTAGTAATTCCTGAATAGGTTTAGAATTTTCAGAAATTGGCTAGTCAATTAAAACGAAAGGGTTTTTACAAAACTACCTCCCCTTGCTTATTTTTTTTATTGTTTCAATCTACTCTAGAGTAGCTGGAGCAGATGCAGCTTTCCAAATTTAATTCAGAGGATCATTGAATTCTATATTTTTTTAGGGCAAACCTATTATCTTTTTCTTTATAGGTATAGGCTGCAGAACATCACTTTTGATATTAATCTGCATTTTAATTTTATTAATATATTTAATAAATGTAGGCATGCAATTAAAACCTAAAATTTTAAATATTTTGTATAGCCAATTACATCTTCTTTATTTATGAAATTCAATTAATTCAAAATTAAACTCAGACGAATTGTGAAATTAATATACATAATATAAAAGAAAAAGATAAATAGTTAAAAGGAATAAAATTATTTGGACATATTAAAACAAGGCAATTTATATAACTAATTTATTTATACTCAAATTAATTTGCATCCTTCATAATCTATAGTTGCTTTAAGAGTTTTATAATTCTGGAGTTATTAAATTAAAAAATTGGATTATTGTTCATCTTATGGAAATGCAATACAAAATCCTCCATCTCCAGCTCCAGTCATTTTTGCAGGAATACTTTGTTTTTTACAAATTCTCTAAACTTAATAAAATCTTTACAATTATATCATTAATTCTATCAGTACAAATGCCTAACCTATCTAAAAGATCATGATTTTCATAAATCAACTCTTTAACAAGGCCTTCTTTAATTATTGATTCAGTTACTTCTGAAATTCTATCCAAGATTTATTTTCCATCTTTTAGTTCAACAGAATTTTTAACTTTTGCAATGGATCCTTGAGTACCTTTTTATTTTCTATCTCCAGAATCAATTAATAAGATATTTTAAATAGGAAGATCAATTTACTAAACGGATTTTCCAATTTGAAATAAGCATATACCACCATGATTGGTCACTTATACATCTAAACCGCTTCCTCTTTTGCCATGAAAAATATTCTCTATTTCTATTGCCTATTGAATAGAACCATTCATAGCTCTGGATAATGCAACAGCAAAAGAGGCAGATGATCCTAATCCAGAACTACTAGGTACTTCAGAGTTTACTTCTATAATGGATGGTTTTATATTTAGTATATGAGCAACTTAAGCTAAGTATGACTTTGAATCATTTTAATTTAGATCTAAAATTTCATGCCAATCATTTCCCCATCTTAATTCAATTGAATTACTTGTATTAGGATAGATTTTTAATTTGGTGTATTTATTAATGGCTGCACATAATGCTCGATGTCCATATACAACAGAATGCTCACCTGAAATTATTATCTTAGCAGGTGCTCTTACAAACATAATTAAAAAATGGAATATTTAGAAATTATTCAAAAATTATTCCTAATGTAATAAACCAAATTTTGATATGAGTTGATAACAACATTCATCTAATGTTAAAAATTAATTCAACTGCACTTTATTCCTTAAATTTTACTTTTGAATTCATAAACTATTCAGATTTTATCCATTATATTAAATAAATTTTGGTTCTGAAGATATTAAACCATAATAATATATTAAAAAAGAAAGACATCAAGTTTAAAATCTCAAATAAATTTAATCCTTTAAAACTTTAAATAACTCTTAGAGTTCTTGAGTTAAATTAACTCCAAAATATATTATTTTATGATCCCAAATGGAAAGATTATGATCCATAATTGGTTATATAGGAAACCTAAGAATATTTAGAAGAGAATCATGATGAATGAAGAAATATGGTATAAAAATGCATAATAATAAATAATTTAAAGTATCAAAGTTAAGAGAATACTCAAGTGAAAAGTTATAAATTATACATAGATTGGCTCTAAAGATTATGCTCATGATTTTGATTTATAATCCTTTACCAGATCCAATAATTAAATATAAAAGGATATTATTAAAACATCTATGCGATTCAATAGATAATAACTCAAGAATTTCTCAAATAAAATTAATAGAATAAATCTAATCAAAGATATAATGGAATTTATATAGCAAAGTAGATTCAAGATGTTAAATTACAGCCTGAATTAGCCTTTAGATTTAAACCTATTTAATCAAAAGAATTATATGTGAGACTTATAATCATATGATATGAAGTCAATTTTGTTCTCAATACCAAAAGAAGAAATCAATATAGTTAAATTTAATCTAATATGGATTGCTATAGTTAACTTATTTATCATAATATAAGGCAAATTAAACTCAATTCTATTTCAATAACTTAAATTTACCTTGATTAAGAGTAAATTACAAAATTTCAAATCTCATTCTATAAATCCTAAAATCAAAAGAAGAAGTAGATTAAAGCCAAATTATTCAATTATAGTGATTGATTACATTAAATATATTTATATTAGATCTATTAAGTTCTTTTAATATTTCTAGAAAAGCTAAATTATCAGAAAATTAGGCAATAATTACTATTTTAATAAAAATCGAATTAAAATTATCTTCATAATTAAATTTATAAAAAAAAACAATTCAATATTTAAAATGGGTTGGTGGGATGGAAACAATGATGATGATAATCAAAACAAGAATTTTAATAAAAATGTCAATTCAACTTTTAAATCTTCAACAACTACTCGATAATGTAGACCTGATCCTGAGGATCAAAATTTTATGATCTGTAAAAATATTGTGAAAGAAAGTTCAACTATCAATGGTTAGAGGAATGATGAAACAAAAGAATATGAAGAGAGAGTTCCTATACAATAAAATTATGCAAGAAGAAATTAATAATTCAATTAGAATAATCTAGAATTTGATTTTAATTAAATGGATGAAGATTTAGGTTAGTTGTTTGAGAATTTCTCAAATAACTTCTTTAAAAACTTTCCATCAATTGTATTTGGCCCAATGAGAGCAGATTTTTAAAATCCAAATTATGAGTAAAGAGGAAATCATAATTATAATAATAATCAATAAAGAACATAGAAATAATAATAAAATTAATAATAACCAAGAATCTAAAAGAAGAAGGATGACATTTATGATTGCTGAGTTTTATATATATTATTATTTAATCAAAAGAAGATTGTAATTAATTTAAAAAATTAAATTAAAATCTTTTAATCATGGGAGTTGGTAAACCCAGAGGTATGAGAGCAGGTAGAAAGCTCAAAGATCACAGAAGAGTTAACAGATGGGCTGATAAAGAATATAATAAAGCTATGATTGGATCAAGATATAAGAATCCATTTATGGGTGCATCACATGCTAAAGGTTTGGTTGTTGAAAAAATTGGAGTGTAAATATAATTTTATAATGTACATTTAGTGAATCTAAATAACCAAACTCTGCTGTTAGAAAATGTGTAAGAGTATTATTGAAAAAGAATGGTAAAAAAATATCAGCTTTTGTTCCAAAGGATGGTTGCTTAAACTTTTTAAATGAAAATGATGAAGTCACAGTAGCTGGATTTGGTAGAAAAGGACATGCAGTCGGAGATATTCCAGGGGTCAGATTTAAGATTATTGCTGTTAAAGGAAAGTCACTTTTGGCTTTATGGTTAGGAAAAGTAGAAAAATGAGCAACATATGTTCCTTTTTTGTCAGTATATTAAAAAAATATTTATAATTTTTTATAGTATTTTTTTTTATCATAAAATATATAAATTAATATTGCCAACCTCTATTCTAGTTCATTATTCTCATAAGAAATCACATTTAATATTTGAACTTCTTTATAATTATATTCTAAAAATGTTAATTTAATTGTAATTATTTAGGAAATAAAAAAAAAGTTTGATAAAATTTTAAAATAAGTTCCTTAAATCCTTTGCATCCAAATGAAATGATGAAAGTAGATTGTTTAAACAATAAATATTTAATCAAAAAATAAATATCTTGTTTATTTAAACAATAATTATCAATTGATCCTAAATGCATATATTTGTTTTTAATCCATTTTATTTTATTTTATGATTAAAACTATTGCTTAAAATCAATATTAATTATTCACATTTAATAAAAAAGAATTAAGGAACTTAACTGAATGAGATATAAGTGTTTGATTTTTATCATAAACATTCTAAAAGGAAATATAGAACTAAATCGCACACTTTAAAATAAGATTTATTGGGACATCAGAATAAAGACACGTGAATTGGTCATATAGTTTTTTTAATAATGTAACTTAATGAATAGCATTTTTGAACCTTCAATTTCTGAAATAACATTTTGAGATATTTTAATTCAACAACTTTTATTATTGACTATTTTCTGTATTTGAGTTTAAACAAACGTTATTTTTATAGGTTTTGTTATTTTATAATTCAAATTGAATTATATAATTATTAAATCTTATTTTCTCAATGGTTTTATCAATAATCAAATATAATAACCTTATAAATTGATTGTTCATTCCTAATCATGATATACCGTACCGTAATAGGTATATTATATTGTGATATTTGTATTTATAGCAAATTTAATGTAATATTTTTGGAATAATTATAATTTATTTAAATTTTTAATGATAGTACAATTCTTATACCCCCTAAAGAAATATCTTTGTTGTTTAATATCATTATTTGGCAATATTTATTTAATCCAATGGATTAATCAATAGTAAAACTGAATACGGAATGTGAAGATATTCAATAATCATTCCTCTCCTCTCCAAGTGAGTACTTCTCGAATCAAAAAGATGATTTAGCTGAGAAATGTCAATTCTCATATAAACTATTTTGTGAAACCAATCCCCGAGATCAAATTGCATAAAAGATTGTTAATTTTCAATAAGAAAAACAATAACTGTAATCGATCCAACTTATATAGTCTCTATTTGATAGAGAAATTAGAATAGTATTTCATTAAAGATATCACAACCTTACTTGAATATGTTGAACAATTAGAATAATCATACAATACATTATATAATGGAGGATTCAAAATAATAAATGAACAATTACTAACATTTTTTGATTATGAGAAAGTTTAAAAACTAAATGAAACAATTAATCTTTTAGAATAAAGATGGAATCTACCATAAATAAAAGAAGCAGGCAAATAATTTGAAAAAGTGTTAGGATTATCTAGTTTGAAATGTATGTTAGAAGAACATGTTCGTGATTAAACAATGGTGCAGTTCTTCTTACAAAACTAAATACACAAACCACCAGTTGAATATCTATTCTTAAGGAGTCAAGAAGTTGATAAATTGAATGAATAAGATGGAATCTACTTTGGAGAAGTATTATAATAAATGAAGCATGGATTTGGAGTTTGTATTAGAGGCTAAGCAATTTGGTAAGGTTATTGGAAACATAATCATATTCTTTGGGGTCAATATACATTTGAGGAAAATGGATAGAAAAAAATTATGTAAGGTTAATTTAAGGATGATATGCTAGAAGGAGAAGGAAAATGCATAGCATTTAATGGGGATACAGTTTAAGGATAATTTAGAAGAAGTCGAATTTAAGGAAGAGGTACTTACAGATTTAGTTATGGAAATATGTATATAAATATTATATTAATTTAGATATGAAGGAGATCTAAAAAATAATACTATTGATGGATAAGGTTCTATGAAATTTGCTAATGGTGATTAATATGAGGGAGATTGGAGAAATCATTCTATTTATGGGAAAGGCAAGTATACATATAATAATGGTGATGTTTATGAAGGAGATTTTGTTAATGGAGACAAAGAAGGAAAAGGATTACTAAGATTTGAGAATGGAAATATGTATTAAGGAGAATTTAAAAATAATATAATACATGGTTATGGAGAATTTACATTTGCAAATGGAGATAAGTATGCATATATTTTAGATAATAAGGTATAAAGGAGAATTCAAAAATGCTCAAAGAGATGGAAAGGGTAAATATGAATAAACGACTGGTGAATTTTATGAAGGAACTTTTGTTAATGATAAAAGAGAAGGGTTCGGAATTTAAAAGTATTCTAATGGAGATATCTATGAAGGATAATTCAGAAATGATAAAAGAGAAGGATAAGGAAGATATAAATTTGCAAATGGAAATGTGTATTTTTCTGATTAAATTTTAGTTATATTGGAGACTTTGTTAATGATAAAATGGAAGGTAAAGGAAAAAAGAAATTTGCAAATGGTGATTGTTATGAAGGGGAATGGAGTAACTAACTTTTTAATGGAAAAGGATAATATAAGTTTGCAAATGGTAATACATATATTGGAGGATTTATTAATAATAAAAGAGAAGGACATGGAATTTATAAATTTGCTAATGGTAATACATATGAAGGAGAGTATAAGAATGATAAAAGAGATGGTAAAGGTATTTTTATATATGCTGATGGAAATCGAGAAATTGGTGAATATATAGAAGGCAAACCTCAAGGGGAACATTAAGTTTATAGAGGAAGATAAAGTAGTCCATTTAAAATTAATAACTATAATTCTGGTAAATTAGATTCAACCTTTATTACAAGTAAATTCTGATCAAATTGATATAAAATTATAAATTAATTTTATTTAAAATGACAGTATTTTTATTCAATTAAGTTTCTTAGAAATTTTAATATAATAAATATATTTTTTTGTAGACAGAATTAATTATTCATAGAATAATCACACTCTTTTCTCAAAATTGAAACTTTAATTAAGATTATTAGCCCTTGTAGTAATATTAGCTTTTCTAGTCTTTTAACATCCTCCACTATGATCTCTTGATCCTTTTCTACTATTTATTTTTAACCAAAGTTAATAAGGTGTTGATTGAGGTTTTGTACTAGCTGGCATTGATAAATCCTGTAAGAATTAAATTAGTATTTTACCCCTTCAATATGTAATGATTTTTTTTTGGTTTCAATATTTGTAGTATCTAATAAATTTATAGGTTTATTTTCTTTTTTCTTATCATTTACTGAGCTATCATCAAAATTTGAAAAAGACGCCTTTTGATTTTTAGTTGTTTTACAATTATATGGTATTTTAGGTTATGAGTTCCCCTTATTAGCTGTTGGAGTACCAGTTTTAGTATTTAATTCTAAAATTCAAGATGTAAATTACTTAGATACTATATTAATTTATTTTGATGTGCAGGTGAAACAGTAGCTACATTTGATGGTCTTTTACAAGTAGTTAAGTAGGCAGTTTTATTTAAAGTATCATTTATCTATATATCAGTTTTCATTTTTTTATGATTAGTCTGCTATAAAGATTAAGATTTATTTCTTTCAAATTAAAATGATTAATCCTAAAGTAATATATAATAAGCTCTACGTCTATTGATAATGATGAAGTTTAATAATTTTTAGATCCATTATATATAGATCTAGTTTCATCTGCTTATGGAACAGAATTACCTCTTGTTTAAGAGTGAGTTTTTTTATTTGCTTAACAAGAGCCAGATACATTATGAGCAAGAGTTTTCATAATTTAACTATCTAAAAGAGTATTTATTGGTGCTAATTTAAACTTAAAATATACGTTTTATAGGACGGGTCGCAGGTTGTAATAATTTTTCATTAAAATTACTTGAATTAATATCAGCATTAGAATTGCCACCATTTATGAGATGTTTTTTTAAAATAAGAAAATAAGCTGTAGTTAAATTGTTATGTTTATTAGCATCAAGACATTTCTTTATATAATCTGAATTAAATCCTTTAATTGTTAATTAATCAACAATAGCATCATCTATTGGAATTCTACTGTATCCAATTATAATTCCTTATGGAATAGATTGAACTCTCTTATATAAATTAAACCAAGGATGTTATTTAATTTATTCTAAATTAAAACGTTTCTAAGGATCTGTGTTTAGTAATCCTTTCAAAAATTGTTAACCATTCTATGATACATGAGAAGGTATTGTATATAAACCTCCAAGTATTTTTTTATATAAATCACTAGTGTGTTTATCTTCAAAAGGTAATTAACCACAAATAGTTGCAAATAATATGACTCCACAAGACCATATATCAACTAAAATACTTTAGTATCTATGACCAGCTATCATTTCTGGTGCAGCATAGCAAGGACTTCCACAAGCAGTTTTAAGTAACTCCCCTTATTTATATGTATTTGAAAGTCCAAAATCTACAATTTTTATTTGATTCTAATGATCTAATAATAAATTTTCTGGTTTCAAATCTCTATGTACAATATTTAATTTATGAATATATTCTATTCCTGATATGAGTTCTTAGAATATTCTACAAGCTTCAAGCTCATCCAATCTAATAAATTATTATAGACTATTTACTTTTCACTCTTTACAATATAGTCAAAAAGTTCACCATTATCACAAAATTCCATCACTAAAAAGATGTGCTTTTTTGTTTCTATAATCTTCTTTAAATATTTGTATTACTTCATATAATTATATAACATGTCTATGTCTAATCAATTTTAATATATGTATTTCTCTTGAAACTCTTTCAACATCTGCAACCTCTATTATTCTCTCTTTCTCTAAAATCTTTATAGCTACTTTCTCCCCAGTTATTTAATGCAAACCTAATTTCACTAATCCAAATGTCCCAACTCCCAAAGTTTTAACTCAAATACTTATAACTCCAAACCTAATATGTAATCTCCTATGATTCGTTGCTTAGATACATCTTTATTATTTTAAGAACCATCCTCTTTATCCTACTGTTTCTTTTGTAGCATAAATCAATATCGTTAAATTATTAATATTTACAACTAAATTTTGGATTAATTTCAAGAAATTTAATCCCTAATTACAATCCAACAGTAAAATTATCCTAAATACTTCCCTTTTATTCTTATAATAAACACCATAGATAATTTTTAAAATATTAAATTAATCATCCACTTTTGTTATCATTTCCAAAATTAGGATAGTTAAAAATAATATGCAAAATTTTACATTTAAAATCTTATCACCATTCAATTTTTTTACCTACATTTATATATAATTGATAATTAGACAAATTCAACCTTAAATTTATGAATTTTTACAAATTTTAAAATAAATATCTTAATTTTAATTAGGAAAATTATCTAAATAACTAATAATTAAATCGATTATAATTAACTTATGATCGATTTAATTAAACACCATAAATCATTGTTTAAAGTTAAGAACAGTTTATATTTAAAGTATTCTAATAGAGCTAAAATTGATTTAATGCTAATAATAAATAGAAATAGAGGTAAATATAAAATTAATTTACATTTTGATTTAATTTTAAATATAAAAAATGAATCTTAGATGAGAATTAGATATTATATCACACGATGTTTAAATTTTATAATAGTTTATTTATATATCTCTAAGAAATAAAAAAATGTTTTGAATTATATCTATATGAGCTCAAACCTTTTTGTTATTAGATTTAAACTTAAAAATAAACTGTTTAAAATAAGATTGTGGTATAAGAACCAAAAAATAATTAAGAAAGATTGAGTAAATAAAGCTTGAATATCAAAATTATGTCATAAAAGAAAAAATATAAAATTTATGAGTTAACTATTTTAATTTTAAATTTTAAATAATATCTATGCCTCATTATCCTGAAGAAATTGAATATTCAGATAAGTATTTTGATGACTACTATGAATACAGACATGTAATTCTTCCAAAACATATTTTCAAAAAAATCACAAAAGGTAGAATTTGAATTTGAAAAAATAGGTAAATTATTAAATGAAATGGAATGGAGAGCATTAGGAGTATAATAATCAAGAGGATGGTCTCACTACGAAACACATAGACCTGAACCTCATATTCTTCTATTTAGAAGACCAAAGAATACAGATCCAAATACTGGATTACCTCCACCAGGATTTAGTGCTCCTTATTGAATATAAATTAGTTAGATCATTAGATAAATTTATATACATAAATTATAATCATAACAATGGCATTTTAGGATCATATAATTTAGCATATAAATCTATTCCACCTATAATGTTATATATATTATTTATTTTGTCCTTTAAAAATTCACAAGCCAACCTAGAATTATTACCTCTTCTACACATGACATATACATCTTTATCTTTATTTTCTTCAATTTAAAATTAATCAATTTATGAATATGGAAGATTTATGAATCCATCCAATTTGATAATATTAAATTACGAATTTGGTCTTACATCTAGCAAAACAATTTGATCATTTCTTTAAATCTATAGAAAATCTTTCCATTCAATTTCTTTATATCCCCCTCTATAAGGAACAGAAGAGCTACATATAGTTTATGCAAAACCACAATAGTCATATTCATTTATGTTAATTAACTTTTAACATGCAATACAATCTCTATTTTTATATTTAAAATTAAATACTTTTGTTATCCTCTNCTAATAGAGCTAAAATTGATTTAATGCTAATAATAAATAGAAATAGAGGTAAATATAAAATTAATTTACATTTTGATTTAATTTTAAATATAAAAAATGAATCTTAGATGAGAATTAGATATTATATCACACGATGTTTAAATTTTATAATAGTTTATTTATATATCTCTAAGAAATAAAAAAATGTTTTGAATTATATCTATATGAGCTCAAACCTTTTTGTTATTAGATTTAAACTTAAAAATAAACTGTTTAAAATAAGATTGTGGTATAAGAACCAAAAAATAATTAAGAAAGATTGAGTAAATAAAGCTTGAATATCAAAATTATGTCATAAAAGAAAAAATATAAAATTTATGAGTTAACTATTTTAATTTTAAATTTTAAATAATATCTATGCCTCATTATCCTGAAGAAATTGAATATTCAGATAAGTATTTTGATGACTACTATGAATACAGACATGTAATTCTTCCAAAACATATTTTCAAAAAAATCACAAAAGGTAGAATTTGAATTTGAAAAAATAGGTAAATTATTAAATGAAATGGAATGGAGAGCATTAGGAGTATAATAATCAAGAGGATGGTCTCACTACGAAACACATAGACCTGAACCTCATATTCTTCTATTTAGAAGACCAAAGAATACAGATCCAAATACTGGATTACCTCCACCAGGATTTAGTGCTCCTTATTGAATATAAATTAGTTAGATCATTAGATAAATTTATATACATAAATTATAATCATAACAATGGCATTTTAGGATCATATAATTTAGCATATAAATCTATTCCACCTATAATGTTATATATATTATTTATTTTGTCCTTTAAAAATTCACAAGCCAACCTAGAATTATTACCTCTTCTACACATGACATATACATCTTTATCTTTATTTTCTTCAATTTAAAATTAATCAATTTATGAATATGGAAGATTTATGAATCCATCCAATTTGATAATATTAAATTACGAATTTGGTCTTACATCTAGCAAAACAATTTGATCATTTCTTTAAATCTATAGAAAATCTTTCCATTCAATTTCTTTATATCCCCCTCTATAAGGAACAGAAGAGCTACATATAGTTTATGCAAAACCACAATAGTCATATTCATTTATGTTAATTAACTTTTAACATGCAATACAATCTCTATTTTTATATTTAAAATTAAATACTTTTGTTATCCTCTGAGTTTAACAACTTTGTATATATCTCTTAAACCATCTAATAATATCATTTTTTATGTTAAAGTTTACTGTCCAATAATAATTTTAATAGCCTATAATGCTTCTATAAGTCCGATTAATCCAGGCATAACTCCAAATACTCCAGCCTCATTACAATTCTAAACAGTTTTAGGACATTAAGGAAATAAGCATCTATAACAAGGTCCTGACATACCATAAACTGTTATTTGACCTTCCCAACCAACTGAAGAACCAGAAACTAAAGGTTTATTTAAATAAATAGCTGTATCATTAATTAAATATCTTGTAGCAGGATTATCTGTGGCAT